AAGTAATCATTTTTTGGTCAACGTTTTGTTGTATTCATCATCAGTGTGACTGTATGTAGAAATTTGGTACTCACCATGTTGCGTCATTCAGCCGTTTGGCCACAAAATGCAAGTAATGCAAAAAGTAGGTAAAAATGGCTACTTTGGGTAGGTTTAAATACCTACGTAGCTATTAATAGTCTTTATACTGGACCTGATAATTAATTACATGTTTTCATTTATCTACTATCTGAAAAAATATAAATCATGAAATCTGTAAACATTTTGTGTTTTGATTATAATTAATCAAACACTGCATCATCATAGCCAGCAATTTTTTTTTATTAAATTACCCATGTTCCTTTATTATTTTAATTAACCAGTTACATTGAAAATGTGCTTTAACTAATCTCATTTTTCACGACGCAACGTACTTTGTTCGACCGAATTTTCTCTAATGTCAAAATTAAAACAAGTTGTGAGAAACTGAAACAATTTAGAAAAAACTTCGTAATCTTCGTTAAAACACGTCATATATTTATTTACAACTAAAAAATTATATGTCTTATCCGTACCGTACCGTACTATTCTTGGGTCGAAACGCTTTATCCCCATACAAAAATATTGATGTAGTTAAAAAAGTCATACTTTTTCCATGCATCGAGTGTAAATGATACAACACAGATTGCATGGATGTGAAGTGTCTATGACATGATCCACATTCGTATTTTTTTCGTTTATTCTCCCATACAACACGTCTTCATAGTAGTTGTCCTCCGGTTCCCTCGTACGCGGCCGCCATTCTTGTTATGATAATACGAAATGAAGACGCTCATTGATGACGTAAAAATTTTCTTTGAATTCATTAATTGATAAAAATTATATTGATTTTTAAAATTTAATTCCAGTGAAAAATTATTCAGATAGTCTTTGTTATTTTTTAACATAAAAACACTGGGAATTCGAAACTATATCCTAGCTCTGCCTTACATTTTTAAGAACCCAAGTTTCCATTGGTCAAGACGAAAGGCGGAAACTTGAAACGCGCAAAACGTTGGAAATGTGAATTGATAGAGTAGGAGGATCGATATTAAAGTATTATAATTAGCGTAGTCATTCTTTGTCAGCCTCTTAAGGAAATAACAGAATATGAAGAAGGAAGAATATATATATTCAGAGGATCAATCTACTTTGCAGCCATAACTGCAGAGATTAGTGGTGAGTTACAAAAAACGGTAGGCAATCACTGATTTAATCAGATATCTGTCGGTAGATGTTACTCTATTTGTTAAATTATTATGCTTTTTTTAAATGAAGACTTTGCCAAACTTTGCTTTGAGTGGGGATCCAACCAAAGTAACATACATTAATTATAGATAGGCTAGTTTATCAAAACATTCATAGGCCTATTGACCTACAACACGACAGCCGAGGAAAATAGGCAAACATCCTCTCAGATTGCTCTATGGAAGAACTGCTACTACTTCTAGATCTGCTTATGATGCATAAAACTAAAATTAATAAAACTTGCAAGAAAAGTATAATTTTTTTTCCTGTATCTTTAGCTAATGGCAGGGAAGGGGATGAAACCTAATTTTGGTAAATTTACAATAAGAATTCAAAACTTTTAGAGTATGAATTTTTTTTTTTGAAGGGGGGTTCCTGACCACTTTTACACTTGTAGTCTAATGGTGCTTTAATTGATTAGATAAGGCACATACAAAGTGTTTTAACCCAAGACTGTGGATGCTTAAATAAGAGTTGTGTAAACTGAAAATTCTAAGTTAAAAGTCATATAATTGTTTTATTGTAAATTTCTAGATGACAAGAAACATCTTGAGAAAATAAAAGAAGGAACTCAGGAGAACAAACCCATACATTTCAGGATGCATCAGTACGTATGAAAAGTTTCTTTTAAAGTGTAAGCCAAACAGTTCAACTCTCTTAAGTTAATCTATTAGAATAATTATACTTTCACAGATTAAAATGATTACACACACACAAGTAGTCTATCATTAAAAATGAAAATATTTTTTTCTAAATAGATCCTGTTCCAGCAAACTATTTTCAAGGCAAACAAATTTACTCCTAAAAAGAGCACCAGCTTCATCATCTGATTCAGCAACAGAAAGGCAGTCACCACCTGCCACATCACTAAATACTACAAGTAAATCAAGCAGGTTAATGTACCTAGTAACCTTTGAACTGATCTCTCTGCACTTACCTTTTTAATATCTTTGTTTTTTAGGTAAAAAAAATCTTATTTTTGTTATAAATTGCCTGAAAATTTCTTTTAATTCTGTTTTAATAGGCACACTTTCTTCAGAAAGTGACACTGAAGATTTGAACCATGAATTTAGGTTCAGGGAATCTTTAGACAAAGACAAATTAGTACTTTTCATGTTTAATTATGTTATAGTGTTTAAGCCATGATAAACTTTTAAGAATCATTGTTTTAATATTGGATGACCTACTCCAGTAGTCCTAGGTAAATTTATGATCCCCTTTGCAGTTTCGTTTGCAACTTTATGTCAATCTGTTTTGGTAAATGTAACTTTTTAGCATTACACACCAAAAGTTGCTTTTAATACTACACTTTTCAGCTAAATAAAGAGTATACTAGATATTTATAGATGAATTTTTTAAGGTGAATGTTCTTGGCAACCTTCATTATAATACCATGTTTCAGTGTAAAAATGTTAAAGATTAAGATTTGTTGATTCTCATTACCGGTAGTTAAGAAATGTAACAGAAATCTTCATGGGCATTTTCAGAAAATCTTTGTTCTTGTAGGGAAAAGAGAAGCAGTTCATAAACGATGTTGATGAGTTGAGATCAGAAGATAAGAAACTCTGCAAAAAAATCCGGGCTCTTGAAAAAACAAAAGAAAGATATGAAAATATGAATGATATTCGATCAAAGGATCTAAATGATGAAATTCTGGAAATTCCAAATGGAGAACCAAGAAGAATCTTGGAATTGACCATTTCTGCTCGAAAATGCTTGATAGCCCTCAAAGCTGTTGCCCTATTGCTAAACAGACTTTTCTCCTAGACTGGAATTAAAAACTGTTCCATTTCTGGCCAAAAAAAAACCCACTTTGAAATATGCTGAGGAAGGACCCCACCCTCCTCCTGACCAAGTAAGGTTTAGGATTCTGCAAAGAGTCGTGTTTGAAATTTTTCATAATTTAACCAGGAATGAACTACATGTAATTGAGAAATTCAAAACATTCAAAAAGTTGCAAGTAAGTGGTAAGGCAATTGCAAAGCCTTCAATTCTATGAAAATGTGTTGCCATTTGAATGCTCTTTTTTTATTGTTGTTAAAAGAAGAGGGAGCTCAAATTCAGCTAATATCAGTTCTTTATGTCTGTCTGTAAACAGTGTTTCAAGATACTTCAACTCTTTCTAGTTTGTCACTTTAAATAAGAGTAAAATAAGATATACATGTATACATAATTATGGTTATCAACTTATCAGAGTTGTTTACTTTAAAAAAAAAACATTTTGTTGCCATTGTTGGAAATCAAACAGAAATTTGTGAAATCTTTCAAGATGCTGTATTATAAAATATCTTCTTTTACAGTTTTTTGCTTGATTAGACTTCTCGCATTTTCATGAATAAAAGTGAATAATAATATTGCATTTTTTGTATACAAATAAGCAAGAATATTCATGAATAGTTCATGAATTTTATTCATTCATGAACATTCCTGAATAAATTTTATAAATTATTCATGAACAGTTCATGAAGATGCAATGAACTTATTATTGGACAATTCTTAAAATGATGAATCTTCATGAATATGACTCTTCATGAATTATTCATGAAAAAATATATTCATGAATATTCATCAACTTTCTTTCATGAATAAAAATTCATGATTTGAAAATGTCCAATAATAAGTTCATAGGATCTTCATGAACATTTCATGAACATTTCATGAATAAAATTCATGAATAATTCAAGGTAAATCATGAATTATTCATGATCATCTCGCAGGGGTAATACAACCCAAACACTTTCAATTAGTCATTGGATATTATATTTTATGAACAAAGTGTTTCAAGAGTGCAGGATTCTAATATGCTAAAGGCATAAGGTTGGTACGTTGCCTTTCTTTTAAAACACGAACTAACCCTCCGCGACCACATGTTGTAGGCACTATTTTGTTTCCAATAAACGCTTGAAAATCACAGAACAAAATCAGTCGTTCTGATAAAAAACAGATTTGATGGAATTTTATTTTATAGAATTTGATAAATATAAAAAAAAAAAATTTGAATAATCTTATGAAAAAAACTTTCCAGTCGGCACGTTTTAAATGGGTCGGTCGCATTAGGGGAAACAAAGGTATTTTTTATTTTGGCCTCATTTGTTCTTTTTGTAAAACAGGGCCAAGTTCTTTGTAACCAAGTTTTACTGTACATATAGAAGAATATTTACATTTGCCACAAGTGTATACCTTTGTAACAACATCACCTGTCCTGGGACACCTGGACTATTTCTTCGTATCCATCTTTGATTATCATTAAATCAGTAAGCGTGGGTAATAAATTTTGAATTAGGTCTATGGTTTAGAATGCATACAAAATTTTGAGATTGAGTATACATGGCTGAAGCATAGAACCTGCACAGTTTTTTGAAAAGCCATTGGGGTTCTACTCAAGACATGGACATGGAGTCTAAGTCTGAAAGTGATGGATTCTTCAGTATGGAGTGCCTTGAGTGGCCTTACCCACCTTTTTATCATGGCCTTCTATACAGGTTAGGAGCAGGATGGGTTAAAGCCTGTGCATTGTCAAAGTCAACCAGACCTTTTTCCAAGGGAAAAGAGAAGCCTCAAAATTGTAGTGTTCAATTTTATTGGCTTTGAAGCATGTTGAAGTAATAACTAACAAATGGTCAAGAACTTTGAAGAGAGAGAAAAAGAGAAAGAATATAAACTAAAATTTATATTAAGTTGCAGTAGTGATAAACACTGTTACAGTTACAGAATTTCCCTTTTCTATTGTTCAGGAACAGCCTGCGGGTAGTGTACATTTTGGACGGCCTGATGGATGGTTACCCTGTGCCCTACTTCAGTCATACAGAGGAGGACCCATTTGTGATGCTAGCTTGGAGATGTACAAAGCTTCAGGACTTCTCTCTGATTGGTAAATAAGAATGGCAACTCCAGAAGAATTAAGCATACTGAATCTCAAGACTTATAAGAACTTAAACTACTATTTTTGGATCTTTTGAATTTAGAGGAAATACTTGCTCATGAAGTGTACAGTTGTTAGTTACTATTGTAGGTTATGAAATCTCAGATGATGATGTCATAGCCATTGCCAGGCTTAGAGGACACAATTTGAGGACCTACAGTGTTCCTCACTGTTGTATCTGTACTGTGGAGGAGGAGGACCACATAGCCTGGGTCAGTCATGGCTGCTATGCTCAAGATTTTCCACAAAAGGTATTTATAGCTTGGGGGAGCAAAGGAGATAGCACTGTATCATTAGTTAAGCATGCTACTGCATAATTTGAGCTTAAAATGGACATCATGAACTCAAAATGGACTTGAAGAGCAATCAGTCTATAAATTCAATGACTAATAAGGTAGGATCAGAACTGTGTTGCTGGGGGAGTTGGAGTGATAGGACACTAGGCCGGCCACTGAACAATGTTTCTTAAACATGTTTTTTTTTTCCAGGTGTCAGAGAATCTGAAGTGGGAGTGGACTCCAATTGAGGATGATGAGCTCCCTTTGGCTGTGTTTGACATTTCAGCAGATGCTGAGAGAGCCTACATGAGCACCCTCCTTTCAGACCAACAGGTGTAACTGAAGAATCGGGCCATTCCAACAAATCAGGTCTCTTCAACAGGTTGAGATAAAAATCAGGTCACCTTGACATATTTTAAGAGAAGTGTATAAGTAGATAAATCATTTAAAATGATAATAATTTTTTTAAAAAAAAGAGCAAAAAAAGGGATTGATCCACTGAAGTGGAAGTTACCAAAATATTGTATTCAGTTATGAAAGTCTTTCAGGTGGTTTTATTTATTTATTTTTTGTTTGCCTATTTTGGTATATAAATAGAACTTGTTACCCTATGAGATCTTCAAAGTTTACAACACAGTATATGTTTGTTTCTATTGGCCCTCTTTTAAACTTATATGTAAATTGTATTATGTGAAATGTAGCAAAGTTGTAAATAATTTAAGTTTGCTGTGCTTTTTGTTCAAATTCTGATATTTTTCATAGATGTCAGTGTTCCTGTTTTTATGCAGAGAACATTTACTGACATGAGTGGTACATCGTTACTTTGTTATATAAATTGATGATTGAAACACCGGTTACAAAACAGCAAAATACCTTTTTGTATTATATTTCTGACAGTATAAAGGCCCCAAAAGCGCTTCTGTGTTCATCTTATTTAATTTAAAGAAGTGTTTTTTAATCAGTTTCAAAATGTAAAGTAAACTACAGTTAAACTTCGTTATCTCGAAGTTGAGGGGACCGTTGATGAACTTCGAGATATCCGGGGGTTCGACATATCGAGGGTTATAATTCAAATGAACTTCAAATAAACTTAGTGCAGTGAACATGTACTTAATTGTAAAAACATGTAAAAATCCTTCTTGTTTGAAATTCTGTATAAGATTTTTTAAATATACATGTACATGTATTTAGCAATCAAAAAATTTTACATCCTCTTTATAATTCACAAAATAAAAACTTTGTATAATATGCACAGAAGTATAATCCAACGCGGAAAGTCAACCGCTAGCATCGTTTCCCATGTATACCTAACCGGATATCGTCTATGCATTGTAAATTTAAAACCGGTCGCTGTCAGAATAACGAAAACGAAATATACATCTTCTTTTATTGGAAAAACATGTTCATACATGTAAAATCAGTTAAAAGAAAATTTTTTTACCATAATAAAATCGAATGCAAAAGAAGAATCACGCATTTTTGTCTAACAACAGAACAACACTGAATCACAGGGCACTACAGCACAAGTTTTCACTGCGACACACGCTCACATGATGGTGTGTACTGACGATTGTAAATTCTGCACGCTCATATGGGGAAAATAAATTCTAACTGCATTAAATTACAGAATTTTGTTTACTTCGATGGTTATAATTTTCACTTTCAAATGCATAAACTATGTATGCGCGCATAATTCACATAGCATTAAATAGCGATTATCAAGATAAACGTACTCAAGCCACAAAACAATGAACGTGTCATCCACGCGTATGCATTAGACTAATACACACAAACTTTTGCTTGCATAATTACGATCAATGTAAGCCATACATACACTTCGTATAATTATCGCGCTATTATCTGTTGATCACAGGAACACAGGTAACCCGAGCGTGACAGACAGGTGGGTGTTATCAATAGAGCATTCAGTTTACCTAACGGACTTGCTCATCGGAGCGGAAAATTATCCTGACTTCGAGATAACGCATGTGATTTTAATGAATGGGTACACAGTTTTACTTCGAGATAACCGGGGTATTCGACATTACCGTGTTCGACATAGAGGGGTTTATTTTAATCATTTATAAAGCAAATTTCGTCGGGACCGCGGCTTTACTTCGACATATCCGGGGTATTCGAGATATCCGTGTTCGAGATTTCGAAGTTTAACTGTACTAGTGCATGCAGCATAGAAAGTAAGTTTATATGCTTATAATACAATGTAAATGCTAAATTTAAGGAACTTTTGTGCATGGAAGGACAATACATTTTGACTGAACTAAACATGCACTGACAAGAGCAAAGTAAACAGAATCACTTTGTGGGTCTCATGTTTGTATCTGATAACCCTGTTCATAGCTCAGAAAATGGAGAGATTTTCTTTATATTGTTGAGGAAAAAAAAATTTTTTTTATATATATCCATGTATATGCCTATACTATGAGATCATAGTGCTGTTGTAAACATGTTGATAGGTCTAGTCATTGCATGCTTCCATCGTGTTTGTTACATAGAAAATAAAACACCCATAATTATGTCATCAGATTCCTAGCCAAAGCAACAAGAAAATGTGATACTTTACTGAAGAACAGTGAAAGGAAAAGTTATATTTTACCCTGTGCTATTTCTGAAGGGTGTAGAAGCCATCCAGATTTTTAATCATGTGTATATTAACTGTGAATGACATTGCATAGTTTCTTTTGAAACAGTTACTCTATGTGTTTTATTTTTTGCCATCAAAGCCAACCAATTGTTTTAATGTATAAAGTATCCAGTTTTATGGGGTAAAGTTGCTACTTTGTTTCAATATTAAAGGTCAAGTGCAATTGTTAACAGCTGTTTTATTTGTTACATGCTTATACACATTTGTATCTGTTTATGAGAGACACTTGTGGAAAAATCAGGGGTGATATATAGACAGGAATATTTTTTAGTATTATATACATGTATCTATTGTGATATACGTCTCGAGTGTAACATCTTAAGTTGAACAAATGTCAAGATTTGATGCGATTTTGCTGTATTACATCTAATTATCTATTGTTGTAACTATGTTGTTTTTATATTGTATATTTTCTTATGTGCACTGAGTAAGACACCTGATTTTACACTAGATGTAAATAAGTTTTGGCACTGTTAATGTTTTTGTTTTACGATAAGTATTACCCAACATCTATTATATGTCATCAATACATATAGCATTGAATATGCAAAACATCACCATTTAAAAATGTGATAGAAGTCAGTAAAGGAGCATAGTGTTGTGCAGGTAGAACTATTACGGGTAAATATATGATCAGTGTAATGAAACACGTCATCTCTAAAGTGGTCCTGCCCTGAAGTCAAGAAATTCATAACAAATATAACCATCCAGAAAGTGAAGTTTGTTTATATAAAAAAAAGAAAGAAAGAAACACGTCAGTTTCACTGACAGACACAGGGTTCACTTTCTCTGGTGGGTGTTTTCTGTTTAATGAAGTCTAACACAAAAACTGTCGCAATGAAAAAGTCATACTAAAGATGACACCAAGACTGATGTTTAAGGTCACAACTAACATCAAAGGCATGCTGGTAGTTTCTTTATAGAACTTTGAGAAATTTTTAAACAGTAATGCAAGTATCTGCATTTGCAATTCGTATATATGTAATATTTAACATTTAGACAATTGGGTTTGTATGCATAAATAAGTATTTTTTAAAAATCTAAGAATTTGTCTTAACAACTGTACTCATACCCACATTTACCTGATTAGCTAAGAATCATATTTAAAGCTTACATGAAACTGATGCCGAAGGATTGTACCTCCGTATGATATATGGTTCAAGTTAAGACTATTTGGTGTAGTTGATTTTCAAATTATAATTTTTTTCGACTACTTTATTTTTCCTTTTGCAAATAAGTTTATAAAGCTACATGTACCAATGTGTAAGTCAGTTGAATGTTACAATTTCTAATACAACTGTATCAAAAAAAATTTCTGTATGTTTGATCACTTCTCAGAATAACGATCTGTTACAACCCCCACCTTTAGTATACACTGTAGGTGGAACTTATCTGTTTTAGAAAACTTGACAATGCCTACTGCTGTGTTGTTGCTTTGTTATATGTGGTAAGCAAAATGCTTAAAGCTGAAGACAGGGTAGGATGTTATTAAATTAAAGCATATTCCAAAAAATGGCAGACCAAACACAGATATAAAACATCACTCAACATAGGCTGGTTTTTGAGAATCTGTTAGAGGGATAAGGTACTTTATGCATACAAACTTGGGTCCAAATTATATATCAATATAAAAATGATGCTCAAACAATAGTTACAATTCATATGAAACTTAATATTTAAAAAAAACTCTGCTGTAATGGCAGCTTAAAGGTTCCTACAGGCAACATGTGTTTTTAGTGTCCAGGAATAAAATCCTTTGAGCAAATATTTGATAGTATACAGAAATGCTTCCTTCCAGGTTACAGTAAAAATAAACATCTCTGTCAGATAAGCCCAAGAGTTTAATAACTATATGAAATGTCAGTTTTTTTAGTATATGGATTGCCTGGTTAAAATGAATGTTTTCATTAGAAAATTATTTCAAGATTGCCAAAGGTGAGCTCAAAATGCCACAGTCTTGCACAAGATTTTCTCTTTTAATGTGAGTTTTGTATTACTCAGTGTAAACATTATGTACATTAAAACGAGCCATTTATGTTGGCTTGAATCATACCATAAAATATATGTAAGCATTTTTATTAGCCATTCATTTCAAAATTTAATGGATTAAGAGTCCAGAACATGAAGACTGGAGTTAGTGTTAAGTTATAAGGTTATAAAAGGAGAAAATGCAATATAGGATTTTTTCAAATACAAGTCCCCATTAGTTTTGAAATCCTTAGTGTTTCTGTCATTATGATCATGTGTTATTGTATCTACCTTTTAGTTAATTCTTCTTGTTTCAGTTTTGGGGTGAATCTGTTTTATTCAGTGCTAATTCTGGCTGAAGGAAATATTCAAAAAAGGTTTCAAATATGTGAAATTTATATTGCTTACTTAAATTTTGATTGCCAGTAATTTGTTGAAATGACAACATTTATATCAGTACCCCAGTGTGTTGTAATATGCATAGAGGATCAGTGAGATTTGGAAATTTCTAAGCTGTTCTATCCCTGTACTGATCTGCATTTATATTTTACATGTATGTACCAGAGAGCTTGGGGTTTTGAAATTCTAATGTATAGAAGCAATGTTAACCAGACGTGTTCAGAATATAAAATTATGAGGGCGTTTTTATCCAGCAGTTGAATTTAATACCAATGTTTGATTTATTTTACTATTTTTTAAGATCGTGTTAATAAATGTATGATATATTTAGTTCATGTAATGTTATGAATTCCATGTGACCTCACTTTGTTAACAAAATAATTTCATTTTAAGACATTCCACCTTGATTTGATGAGAGTAACTCATGTTAAGATGCTAATTAGTAATGGGGGAAAGCACTTTTATATGTAGTATAGTCAGGGCACAGATCACATTGATTCTTGTATAGATGATGGGGAGGGAATTGGACCAGTGATATATTTTTCTACTTTATTGTTGCCATCAAAGACAGTAATATTAAGAGCTTGTATTGTCACAGTTTTTATTGTTAATTTGTTTATTCCTAATGCTTCTGTGAGTAATGCCTGCTTTGGAAATGTTTTATGGGCTGTTGTAATGAGCCTTCTGTATTAATTGTTTGCAGTAGATGTTGGTTTATTTTTAATATGCTATAGTTAAAATAATCATTGCTTTTGGTATATTTATGAACTGAATTGATTCCAGCTTTTTTAAAAACATTTGTGATTCTATAAATGATAGGATCATTTGAGTCAGTGTAAATCTTGGAACTGACAATTTATTCGTGCAGTGCAAATAGAGAGAACCTGTATTATGGTGGCACTATTGTAGGGTTTTATGAAAGTATTACTGAAAAGGAAATACAATGTAACTTACTATCTGTCCGTATCAGTTGTCTTATTTTTCTGGTGGAGGAGTCTGAGAGTTATGTATTTGTGAAAAGGTCAACTCACTTATAATTGACAAGGAAGTTATATAGATGACCATAAAATATCCATACATGCATTTAAAACATTGAATGGTGAAACATTCCAAAGCTTGCATATTTTGAAATCAAAATGAAAAAAGCTGGTGTTATATTGTATAGTAAGAACTAAAGGTGCTATATGATATTTTGTCAGGTAGATATGGATGTAAGAGAGGGAACTGCTTAATTGTCATATAATAACTAATGTCAAGTTATGTAATGTTAATTACAACAGTGTACAGTATAATGACCATTCTGTGTATACGTTAATTGCCAAGAGGGCTTTCATTTCGACCTGTGATTGTATGTTATTGAATCTCAAACTCTTACATCCATAAAACCTGTCTGTGGGCATTGAATAAAGAAATGCTACCAGTCCTGGTGATATTATGGACAAAACTAATGAGAGAAGTGCCAAAATATTAACAACTTTTCCATATGCCTTTGGTCAGACACAATGTTACCAATGATCTTTGTTTTTAATTTTATTGAAATATGTTGATCAGGATTGGAGGTGTAGTATTTTAAAGTTTATGTATATCTTGACAGTTGGATTTTATGTCAATAAAGTGTTGGGCATCTGTGCTCCAAACAGAGTTGATTTTTTTTTTTTTTTTGTATGAAAAATATCTAAACATGACAATAAAAGTAAGCTCAAGGTTATCACTGATATGCCACATTTTGTGTAAATAAAGTAAGTAAGTAAATGGTTTATTATAGTGACGTGTTATGTACAATTACAACAACTGTCAACAAATGTACATATAATAGGAATTTAAACACACGGCCCATAGGGTCTATATGTCACTATAAATTTAACAATATAACATTCAGTAAGAATACTGTGATATTACACATTTAGTTTATTATAATTAAATAATAGACTGTCTGTAGGTATATGCCGAGTATATGAATTTTCCAATTTGTCTTGGGAAATTTACTAAAAGAAATTTGGTTTTGTCTAAATTGCATTATTGCCCTCTTCTACTGTTTACATTAATTCAATTGTTAATTGATATTAATTAAGGAGTAGAGCAACAATAGAATCACATGTGCAGTAAAACATGCTTAGAGTGAACATACTTCATTGAATTCACATATACAAAAGTGATTTCTATTCCCTTTCATTGTAAAACATAAAATTAATGAAGCAAAATTGTTTGTCCCTGGCCCTTTTTTTTTAGTTTACGGACATAATCATATATATATTATATGTAATGAAGAACTCCAAAACATCCCAAATCTTAGAACTTACCAAGCCCTAAAGAGTGATTTTAAAACAGAGAAATATGAAAATGGATATTCCAAAGTGTCATCGTTCTATACTTGCGTAATTTGGATATTTCCCAAGACAAACCGGAAAATTCATATACTCAGCATATACTTACATTCTATTATATATAATAAATGCAATGCGTAATATCACTGTATTCTTATTGAATGTTATATTGTTAAAAGTGACATACAGGCTCGATAAGTTGGGTGCTTAAATTCCTATTATATATATATATACTTGTTGTAATTGTACATAACACATGTCACTATAATAAACTATTCACCATATACTTCTGCCAAAGCTGTTGGATCAACTGAGTCAATAAGAATTCTTTCATCCCTGGCAAACAACTCTATTTCCCCAAATCCATCTTTAAAAAAAATGAGGATTGATTTTCTTTTTATGTTTTTATTAAGAAAAAATTCAGTCTTCAAAACATATAACAAAGTATAATAAAATTCTTCCACAAAAGAATAGGGACTATAAAGGCAGAATAATCCAATGTAGGAAAAAAAGAATACTGATTATAATATGTATAGACTATGTAATAAAATAACAATAGACGAAGAAAAATAACAGCAGATAGTCAATATTCACAACAAATCAGCAGTTACACTCCAACATATAAAGAACATTTGCTAAGTTCTTCAAGTTTGATAAAAAAAAAATACCATACAATATACTGTCAACAAGGCCTTTTAAACAATCATGGGTATAAAATAAACATAATGAATTTAATTTTCAATTAATCTGTCAGCAGTTATTTTTAATTTCTGTAATATATTTTAATTTTCTTTATGTCAATTCTACTAGTAATTTGTATTTACTGACAGCAATAAGAAGTCTTGGTTGCTTCAATACCCTGAAAGAATTTTTGACAATTTAATAGCTGCTGGTTTTATCACAGATATGCACCCTGTATTTATTGTGTTAAAATAAGCAAAGAAATATATTGCAATAAAAAAGTCCAAAACACATTTAGTTATTCAAGCTCTGTCTATTGTATAATTGGTCATATTTTCCCATACATTTTTAGAATTAATTTTGTTTACTGGAGTCTGAAGGCTCCTTGAAGGTGACAGTTTTCACGTTATTATTTGAACTAGTTTCACTGACTTTCTCCTGTTGGTTAGAGGATGGGGGAGTTGGTGGATGAGCTTTCTGGGACTGACAAGCTTCAAACTTTTCTTTTGCCTCTAGCAGATTGGTATGCTGGTCAACAAAGCGCTGAGCTAACTCCGGGCTCATTTCATCCCAGACAAAACTCCCAAGTCTCTGTAATTTACAATTAAAATTAAACAAAAAAATCTTTAAATATGTTATATAAGAATCTCCCTATCTTCACTGAATAATAAATTAAATTCCCCGGCAGAATGTAATTATATTATACAATTATTGCTGTTTTTGAGGTCAATACGATGATTTAGCCACCTGAGGAGTACGAAGGGCGAGGTGAGTATTGTACTTTGAAGGTAGCTAATTTAATCATCGTATTGACTGAAAAAACAGAAATAATTGTTTTATTATATGATTCAATGATTAAATGATACGAAGTTGTTAACCAGATTATGCATTCTTACTTGTTGAATTCCTAGCTAAATGCAACGAGAGAAGCAGGGTTAAATAAACATTACCAGTTATATTAATTTGAAATTTTTTAAGTCTACTTTAGTTGCTATGAAAAAAGAAATAATGTTAGGTTCTTTTATAGAATACTTATAGATTTTGAAAGGGGAAATGCATTATAAGGAAAAAACGACAGCTAAAAAAAATCTTTGATTAGCTACCACAAAAAGAGAATTCTTTTAACTTCAAATTTTGTTTTAGGGTTGGGGTAGGGTTAGGGCTTTGGGATCTAAGGTCCATTATTTTAGGGACCAGTCTTTCAATGAATATTTTTAGTCTACGATGAATATTTTTAGTCTAATTAAATTACAAGTAAAAATTTACGTTCAGAAAAAAAATGTAGGGGGGGTCCTTGCACTCCACCCCCACCCCAAATTATATACATGTGTATTCCATAATTATGTTCACCTGAGTGGAAGTTGTTAGCAAGTGAAATAGCTTTCCAAAACTATTTGTATCAATTTGGAATTTCCTGATCAATTTTTAGAACAATGTAGAGAAAATAAATCCTTATATTTACCTAGAAGGTCACGTATAGGTGAATATAGTACTAATGTAGTATTTTTTTCTGCATTGTTGGATCTCAGCCAATCAGAGAGATGGAAATTATTCAATCATATAATGTATTTTATCCATGTTTAGTTAATTATTCCCACAACATGTACTGAACAATCAAAAGAAAATACTAATGATGTAATTGCTATCATACATTTAAATGCCAGTATAATACTGTACAAGTGTGATACACTTAAAAACAAATGACTATCAAATACATGGTAAATAACTGTATATCATACCTTTCCCCTAATTGGATAGTTTGGATCTTTCCTTGAATTATAATCATGCTCATATGACTTCTTCTCCTGAAAAATTCTCTGGGTGCCATCACGTTTAGTGAGGAAGTTCACAGGCACTGGATAAAATATTGATATTGGAAAATATTATAGAGACTATTCAGTGCATTAACTACAAGTATATATGCTAATATATGTTCATACTTCTAAAACATCAAAACTAGTACATATGATGTTTTTTCATTGGCCTTGTAGGTATGTATGTTCATACAAGGTCAATGAAAAAACATCATTTGTACTAGTTTTTTATTTTTTTTCCCCCAAAACCATTAAAGATAATGAATACATTCCACATTTTACTGTACTTTTAGCTGTTGGTGATTTACTTTTATATTATTAAATGCTCACTCTTAGTGATTTTTTGGTCTTTTATTTAAGCAAAGTATAAATTTCACACTTTTATTAATTTTGTTTCTAATCATTGTAATGTCGCAAATCATTCAGAACACCAAAACACAAAGCATACATTGTTTCAATAATAGCACACACACACACACAAATATGTATAAATATCCAATGAACCACCTGGCAAAATTAACCTACATCAAGACTGGTTTAATGCATTCTCTACTTCAAGCTTTTATACTTTAAATCAATGATTAGGTACACATCTACTAGTAGATATTAATTGTACACATACATTATTTTAATTCTATGTTATAAAGGGTAAACCAGTCTTACAGTACATGTATGTTTTTTATATTTACATACCTTCCTGTACTTCATAGCTAGCCAGTCTTTTCAATATATCTTAACATAACACAATAGAAATTAAAATATATATGAAAGTGCCAATTTTCTCAAGCCCTGATTTAATTACTCTTATTGAATAATTGATTTTATTTATATCATTACTAGAAGATATATAAGGGGAAAGATTATATGAAAAATGAATACCTGGGCCTAGCGCAGGTTCCCTCTTAGTGTTAGATTCATGTCTAGTTGTCCTATGTAATGGCTCCTTATGCTCTTTCATATAATCACTACGATATATTGTATCTTTTGTTTTGGGGGGCACTTGAAGGGGTTCATCTGAGGTCCTTGAGGGCCACCACATATTTTGTTCATCGTGTGTATGTGAGGTGTATACACTGCATATTGGTTCATTAAGAAGTCTGACATCATGCCTCAAGAACCCACAGCTGCGAGGATGGGGGTTGTGTACTCTAAAATCAGGTAATGCTTTGGGTAATACTTGGGTGTCCCTGCTATATATATTTGGCAGAGATATTCCTTTTTTAAACCTCTCTGGCGATGGTGGGCGGTAGTCAGGAATTCCTGCATACCTTTCTCGACTTCTCTCGGCATCATTACTTATGACACGAAAAGAGTCTGGACTGCAAGAGAAAATAAAAATAACAGCAATGTTGGTTTGAACTCAGGCTGATTTCCGCAAATTAAGGTTATCTAGTTTAAAGAGCAGCTGAAGTCTTGAATGCAAAACGAATTATATAACTATTTGTTATGCTATCTTATGTTTCTATTCGGTGATCAAATGCCATTTATTTATTCATTGTGAGGTACTGGCCTTTAACTTTGCTCCTTATCAGTTCTTTATCTCCTGAGATAAATCAATGAGTGGAGCACGCCGAATATTTTATAAATAATTGAGAGAATGGACATACTTATATCGACTAGGCACTCTTTTCTTTCGCTGTAAAGGTGGCATATACAACGTCATGGTGAATTATCTCTACAAAGCGATCGCTATGAATAAATAATTAATTTCCTCTGTCTTTTGCCGCCATATTGTTGTAAAACAAACGTTTCCTTAGTGACAAGGACTTCCGTAGCCCAATTTTCGCATAAATCATACTTTTTTCTTCTTTTCATAATAATCAGTAAAATAATTTAATGTAAACATGAGTTCAAAATATTAGTTCCATCTGCTTTTGATATGAAATTTAGTTAACAACTAAACAATACATTTATAGCTAGCTGCAATATGTATGACGTCACACCTGACAACAAAGTAACAACATGGCGGCGATGGTCAGGTTGCTGGAACAAACTGACCCCACCGTCGAGGAAGTTTATCGCCGGAAAAAGTAAGAAATTTTTAACTTTACGATATTTAGTGTAAAAAACAGGTTTGATTCATCTTTTTTCACAATGAGTAACATTATACATGAAGCCATTTATCGCTTTTACAGTGAAGCAGAAGAAGCCAGACAACGTGAATACTTGTCATCCGTTAAAATACAGGCATGGTACCGCGGAGAAAGATCAAGGGCATATATCAAGTAATAGACAGTCCAATTTTTTAAAATGCATTGGATCGGATTAGATATGTTATTCAGGATATGAGGATATCTATATTAATTATGAGTCCATCCTCACAACGTTGGGGGTCCTGAGTCAAAACGTTGTCGTTGGACTCCAGACAAATTTCATTCGATATTCTATGGGCTTGCTTCTCTTATTGAGAAGCATCCCGGGGCTTTCATCAATTGATATAAAACCTAAACAGAAAGTAAGTTTTTGACACACAGTTACAGGTTGTTCATCACTGAAAGACTTAATGTGATTGGTCGAGGGATAAGAAAAACAATCAAGATTTGTATTTGTATGAAAATATACACTCTCTGATAGATTTCAATTGTGGGCCAGTCAAAAAGGCCAGAAAACCTTGTACTTTTTATTTTTGTCATTGCTCACGTGATTTCATATATATTGAAGTTGCCTATGGTGAAACTTTATTTTAGCACATTTTTCTGGAAAGTGGTAAAGTAAAGTCATTCCAGTGTTGCTATTACAACTGTTATAAACCTCTAAAGTAATTTAAAGCTTTATATTTAGATTTTTGATTTAACTTTATGATACTTATTAAAGAATTAATATATGCATTTCCATTGATTAATGTATGCAAGATATTGTATCAGTGGAAATGCATGATAGATTATTATGAGCACTGAAAATACATACCAAGCAATCTAAATTCATAAATTTAGAAAAAATTATATCTCCATCTATTTCTTTCAACAGACACCTAAACAAATGTGCTACAATCATCCAGAAGATTTGGAGAGGCTTTATAGGGCGAGGCCTTACAAGAATTCTCATCAAGGTTAGCAATTTTATACAATATAACACTGCATACTCTATTATTAATTCAATTTGTTAGCGACTATCTGGAGGAATATATTGGGTTTATCAATCTCATAGATAGTGAGGTCAAGCTAAACCACCTATGAGATTGATCAATTCAATATATATCTGTAGTAGGGTTGTATCAATATATCGATGTATTGATGCATACCAATATTCAAGAATGTATCGTATCAAAAAAATAACTTCAATACATATCAGATGCGCAGTTTTTCTTACAATTCTTTGAAAAAGTTTGGAATTTCAATTTCCAAAGATTTTATATAATTGTTTGGAATTAAAACTAATCAATAATGATATAAACATAAAGGGGATCACACATCTTAAATAATCATTACAAAATGCATAGACAACTATATTATAGCATGTCTGGTTTTACAGTTGCAAAATTTAGTCTGAATTTGAAAAATATTTTGTAATGACAGTGAGGCAAGAACTACAAAATGGGTTATAAAACACTCAGCTTTTAAAAATTTATTCATTAAATGATTTACAAGACTTTTTTGATAGACTTGTCAAAGAATCCAATATATTGCATATCTCTTTACAAAATATTGTATAATATCGAAGTTTTTTCCTCAATTATATACACAGCCCTAATCTGTAACATTCACTAACAAACCAAAGAAGTGTTTTGTTTTGTTGAAAACCAATAATGGATCAATTACAATTAAAAGATTTTCTTCATTCTGCAAATTTCCCCTACTCACTGATTACATCACTGAAAGAGATAAATTTAATTGCAGCATTGCCAGGTAGGTAATGACATGAATATATTGGTTTCTTTTAAAAAACAAAAAATGATAATAATAACAATATTTTTACTGTAAATATGGATGACATAGCACCATTTTATCCACCATGTTGCAGTCCATATTGTTACTCACTGTCTACAGAAATAGAGTCTGCAGTCATGTGACAATCTGTTATCTAATGACAGTCTGAGAGCATCTTTCTAGTCTGAGGCAGAGCAAAGTTACATGTATTTCAAATGCAGGCAGCTAGATGTTAAACTTAATAAATTATGTACATTAATTTTCTCTTTCATTTTCAGAATAGTGTATTGATTATGAAAATAAACTACTACAACAAGAAAGCAACTTATGTAAGTAAAGATTTGGAATGCAAATGAAAAACAGTGAGAAATAAACAGATCTGCATTGTCATATTTTTTGCATCCAGTCTGATTAAAATCAAACGGTGAAACCTTCACTGGCTCCATTTCATTTTGATTGTCGCTGCACATGACAATCAAAATAAAAAGGAGCCAGTGAAGGTTTGATCTTGCTATTGATATTTAAAAAAACATTGATGTGAATAGAAGTAAAAGCAAAATTAAGACTGTGTGACAGTTCCTACACTGATTTTATACAAATATCAATTTGTTGTAATAAATATTAAAGAATCTACACTCCACATTATTTATAAGTAAAAGTTTATCACAAAAAAAGGAAATATAGAGCCGTTAGGCTGAGTCAGCTGATTTGTTTATTCTAAGAACACGTACAGTAACATATAATTCTCCATATTTATTTAAATTATAGATACGAACATAACATTATAACATCATATTTTGTTTTATAGATACAAAAAATGTGGAGAGGATACTATGTTAGAAAATATGTATTTAACTACTACAGTCGAAAACGCTACTTAGAGGCACTACAGATCAAAAATGAAATTGTCAGGTATTTATTTTAAAAAAGATGAAAATATTTCCCAATATTAGGATGAGTTATGTGACAATCATAAACATTACGTATTACTGGCATACATACATGATTTCTCCTATCTTCGTGAATCATTAAACCTTTTAAGGAGTGAACTTGAAGAGTATTCAGAGATGCAGGAACAAGAACGTAGACGAAAGGCCGAGAAAGAACAGAAAGAAAGAAGGGAACAACTGGCTAGGAAGAACCATTACTTGATCAGTACAGAAGTCATTCCTGGAGTATTCAACTCCCCGTTCTTACCGTAAGCATCAGTTCTTAAGTCAACTCCCCATTCTTACTGCAAATATCAGTGCTTCAGTCAACTCCCCATTCTTACTGCAAATATCAGTACTTAAGTCAACTCCCCATTCTTACTGCAAATATCAGTGCTTCAGTCAACTCCCCATTGTTACCATAAGTATCAGTACCTAAGTCAACTAATCCCCCTCCTTTTCATAAGTATAAGCACTAAAGTCAACTCCCCATTCTTACCGTAACTATCAGCACTTAAGTAAAATAATCCCCTTTCTTATCATAAATACATGTCAGTACTTCAGTCAACTTCCCATTCATACTGCAAATATCAGTACTTCAGTCAACTCCCCATTCTTACCATAAATATCAGTACCTATTAGACAACTCTCTGTTCTTACTGTAAGTACTTACTGTGCTTCAAACAACTCTCTGTTCTTACTGTAAGTACTTACTGTACTTCAGACAACTCTCTGTTCTTACTGTAAGTAATAGTACTTCAGACAACTCTCTGTTCTTAATGTAAGTACTTACAGTACCGTATATTACTCGCCTATAAGTCAGTTTTTGGGGAGTTAAACTTTGGTCCAAAACTCTTTATCCGACTTATATGCGAGTTATGAAAAGATTGGTATTTTAGCGAGTCAATCCCTCTAATTTAAGCTTAAAAAATACAACCAACTTATAGGCGGACCGACTTATAGGCGAGTATATATGGTACTTCAGACAACCCTCTGTTCTAACTGTACATGTAAGTACTTACAGTACTTCAGACAACTCCCCATTCTTACTGTAAGTATCAGTACTTTAGACTTTATTCTCCATTCTTACACATTAATTTCTTTGTTAACACAGCAATATCATTATATAAACATTGCATGTAGTTGAGGGAAACATTGAAAATTTTCACCCCAAGAAAACCATTGTCAACCGAGGTTGACAATGGTTTTCGAGGGGTGAAAATTTTAAATGTTACACCAAACTACATGCAGTATTTATTATATTATACTGAATGTTTTATACAAATACATATAACAGTGAACCTTGCACACATAAATTCTGCACAGTCACTATAATTTTATTGGAATATCACCCCTCGTCAAGCAATGTTGACTGTTGCTACGCAGGAGGGCGTGGCTTCATCATTCAGCGGGCAATAGTGGTTTTTAACAAATGTTTCTCAACGAATCAGATTCAACTAATTCTCATGAAAGTATAATATAATTATTTGCTACATGTTTCAAACCCAACATCTGACATTTACCCACTGGGTGATTTTGTTGCTATACCATCAAAAATTATTCTTATCGTTAACGTTTTTTTAATTTGATCCCTGCAGGTGCAAATTAAAGAAAATGCTGAAAATGTTTCATACATGCAGGATTGACTCCACTCAATTGCTAAAATCACTCTATTCTGTGAAAATAAATGAAGAAGTAGGTAAATAGATTTCTCCTTTTATTACAGGTATCCTACAGACACTGAGTATCTACTGAGGTCTGTGAGGCCACTCATGCATGAAAAGAAAAAGAAAACAGACAAGCCATTCGATCCAACATGTAAGAGTTATGATTTGCCACGCCCCAGAGTGTTACCACCATTATCAAGCAAACCTCAGGTATAGCAACATTACTTACTGTAATGAAAAATAATATTGGAAAATCTGTTCCGATTCTTTTCTTTTGATAATGTTTCTTTTTATCCTTTTAGGGCCCATTCCGTGACCCATCAGATGTACAACAGCAGCGATACAAACCATTCCAGCCTTCACTACGAGTGGCCACCTCCTTCACCTCACTCGAGGAGGCACGACAGAAGATGAAAGACCAAGAGTGGGTCACCAGACTCAATGACAACGTGTACGTTTGTCTCAAATAATACTTGTGTTTTTAATTCTGGAAATTTAACAAATTTGTGAGAAAAAAAAGACAGAAAAAAGGAAACATTAAAATATTTACTTAATCTAAGATGACTGTTCAAAGTTCCCCCAATTTATTTTCTGTGTAGGAATCAGTGTGTAGGAAAAAGTTCAAACTTCTGTCGAGATAAGATACCATGGACATACTTTTTTCCATGCTTGGGGTCATAATTCTAATGAATCACAATTTCTGTTCAATCTGCTGGTAGAAAATTACATGAATCTCTTGGATTGTCATTATATGCATTTAATGTAGCTTAGATACAGTGGTTAAAATTTTCACAGAAAATTTGTGACCGTGTACATAGCGTAAATTAATACTAAATTAATACCAGAACAAGAGGCCCATGGGCCACATCGCTCACCTGAGCACATTAGCTAGGGAAAAAAAGCAAAAATCAGTTCAGTATTGAAAAGTTTACGGGGGTGGGGGTGGTTTGAATTTTAAACTACCTGATGATGCTTTCATATCAATATAACAAATAACTTTGCTGTTCTTCAGCAGAAGATTTTTTTTCCATATATTCATTTGTAAAAATTTGATCCCCCATTGTGGCCCCACCCTACCCCCGGGGGCCCTCATTTGAACAAATTTCATTCTACACTACCCAAGGATGCCTCCATATCAATTTGACTAATCATGGCTTTTCTGTTCTTGAGAAAAAGATTTTTTCCTATATATTCCTCTGTAAACTTATACTCTTATGAAAAAATTTGATCCCCCATTGTGGCCCCATCCTATTTTCAGGGGGGGGGGGGGGGGTTGGGGGGGTGTTCATGATTTGAACAAACTTGAATCTACACTACCTGAGGATGCTTCCATATAAATATGACCAATCATGGCTTTGCTGTTCTTAAGAAGAAGAATTTTTTTTATATTTTCTATATATTTCTATGTAAAACTTTGATCCCCCATTGTGGCCCCACCCTACCCCCAGGTGTCATGATTTGAATAAACTTAAATCTACACTACCTGAGAATGTTTCCACATAAGTTTAATCTTTCCTGGCCCAGTGGTTCTTGAGAAGAAGATTTTTAAATGATGCCATTATTTTTTCGCTAATTCTTAATTATCTCCCCTTGAAAGAGGGCATGGCCCTTCATTTGAACAAACTTGAATCCCTTCACCCAAGGATACTTTGTTGCAAGTTTGGTTGAATTTGGCCCCGTGGTTCTTGAGAAGAAGTCGAAAATGTGAAAAGTTTACAGACGAACAGACGGACGACGGACAAAATGTGATCAGAAAAGCTCACTTGAGCCTTCGGCCTTCGGCTCAAGTGAGCTAAAAAAGTACTTCTACAGTATTAACTATTATTTTTTTTCTCCATAGACTTGTTAAGATGTAATTTATTGACTGCGGAAAAATCAGAATTAATGTTTAATGTATTGTATTTGGCTGCTTAACCCTCATTCAAATCGCTTTTTTGTTCCATAGAGTGTATTTAGTAACTGCCACCAGAGGCCGGTGTGTAAGCATGCTTAAAAATTACAGATTGCTTTGATAACTTTTTTTTTTCTGTTGTAGTTTTGAGCCATTCAGTCGACGAGAAGTTAAGTATGATCCCTTACTTCACACCAGATCTAGATATGGTCATCTTCCTTACGGCTTCAGATACTTCAGAGAGGAGTTTCAAGATAAACACATCAGTTCTCAGGTATTAATGGAGATGTCTTACAATTACCTATGAACATATACTGTCTCATAAATTACTGCTTGAGGGTGAAAACAAAAAACATGGTACATTGTATTAATATTTTCTGTATTAGCACTCCCAAAATGGAGAAATTCAAGAAACAATAATTAGTTGATAATTTGTTAAATGGTCAACATACACTCTTTGAAGATGTAAATGCCTGAATTCAAATGTTTAATCACAATTAGGTACCAAAAAAAAAAAAAATAAGCAAAATTACACCATGCTTGCATATAAACTTTATACAGAATTTGGCATGTAGCAATCATTATATTGTCGATAATGCTTCCTTCATGGCATTCTGAGCACTAGTACAGGAATAATTAATATATAAACTCCATACAAATGATACACTTCTAAAGGGATGAGAACATTTCTTAAATATTGTCCTTCTGATATATATAAATACAAACGTGATATTTTCATTTTGATTCTTTAAACATGCAATACTTCATCAGGTTCATATACACGTGCATCCACATTTTAGGTATGCATTTCTTTTCAAGTGCATTGTAATTAAAGTCCAAGAGGAACATTATTATTTTAGTTCAGTCATTTATCCAACATAAAATAATTATCAAACTTAAATTCATTGTATCTCAGTATAATATTCAGTATATATATCACTTTATACAGTTGAACTTCAGTATCTGGAACACTGATATCTCGAATACCATGGATATGTCGAAGTGTTTTGGAAGTCCCAATCCCTCATTCCTATGATATCTCGAAGTTTATTCTTGGTCCCACCGAGTTCTAGATAACGGGTTTGACTGTATTAGCTTTGTGGGATTTACAAAAGTAAGGGGTATAACTGATAACTGTTGTCTATCCCAATGAAGTCTGCTCAGTTTATTATATAAACCATCAAGATCATGTTTCAGCTGAAGAATATCACAAGTAAATATTCTAATGTTTATATTGAACACTTTTTGCTTAAAGTGTTTTTCTTGTTGTTATCATCTTCATTTAAGCATTTAAAAAAAATTAAAATTCTAAGGTACAACTGTACAATGTAGGTTCCAAATATTAAATATTAATAAGCTAGCTATTCTCTTGTATTCTCTTGTCTGTAGCAATTTATTTGATCAATGTGAAATCAGCCATTGCACTGCATTAGCATACTAGTATGTAGGTCTTAATTTTGGCTGAGGCAGTACTGTTTAATTTTTTCGTCTCTTTTCTTTTGTTAAACATTCTTGCTGACTCTGTTTAGTAAAATATGGCATTTACTTGTATTATAATGCTTTGTCATGGAATTGGATCTTAAGTAATATTTCCAAAACATTTTTTTCTAACATTTAAAAATCTAAGTTAAAAAAAATATATAAAAAAAATAATAATAAAATGTTTAAAAAAAAGGTAAAACAAAGTAAAAAAGGTATTAAAATCAAATTAAATATCTTTCTCCCACAACTTCAACTGGATTATGAGGGGGTTTAAGACTGGTTTGTTCATTATACATGTACATATATAGAGGATATTCAATGTTTTTTGCATGTAGTTGGATGTGGAATTTATTTCATGAGTGGGACAGGATTTTTTTATATATATTAAAATTTCATGAGTTCAAAGCACAAGTGAAAATATGAAAAAAAAAAAAAATCCTGTCTCACGAGTGAAATAAATTCCATATCCAACTACAAACATTGAATTTCTGTTTATTACTTTTTCTTTGTAGGGCTGTGACATCATAGTTGAGTGGCTGAGATGTCATAGCTTAACAATTGTGAGATTGAAAACATTGTAACATAGGTTTTAACAACATGTTTGGGAAGAAATTGGCATTTTTAGTCTCTATCAAGATGGTTTAGTTACTATCTCTATCTTACGACAGCTAGAAATTATTTTTTACCTTCTTTGATATCCTTCCACACTGTGACAGAATATATCACTTTGGTATCCTTTTACACTGTGACAGGTATCACTTTTATTCAATAAATAAATCACAGTATTTCACTGTTGAAAATGTAATAAACATGTTTATATACAAGTATTTAGGCAGTGCAATTATCAAAGTCAGTTATGTAAAGAAATATATTTAAAAATTGACTAAAATTAATCACTTTCTTTTCAGTTAATGTGCAGGTTTATGCTAAAGCAGATTTAAATTTTACTTAACAGCTAGACTAAACTGGTTTTTAAAAACAAATCATAAAAAAAATCTTTGAAAATTCAATTACTACATGTACTTATATCTCTGGTAGATGTAATTATACATTCAATAAATATATAAATGTATTCCTAAAATAAGAACCAAATTTGTAATAAGAATGAATGTATGAGATATATTTATTTGAAGTGGTACCCAGCAAACTCAGGTAAAGGTGGTAGAATAACTACATAACGAGTGTCCAACAAATGTAGATTTAACAGGTAGACCAATCAGCAGGTTACAGCTCATCACTTCATCATCCAGTCAGATTACAGAGATCTTGATGTGAAGTTGTAACAAGCAGGGATGTAATCTCAGTTACATATATAGTAAAACTCAAATAAAATTTGCATATCAACAAAAGTATAGAAAAGTAAAATGAAATGTTGGGAAACTAAAGTTTTCTAAGCAAATGTTTTTAAAAAATCAAAATGAGTTTTTTTTATAACCTTGGTTCAAAGATTACATCCCTGAACTTTTAACAAAATGTTGAATTACATAAAATTGGCCATAACCAAGACTTGAATTTGCAGGAGAGAGAAAGGATATTACAATCAAATATAAGACTTGAACAACGAGAGAAGGTACTAACCACATATGATGTAAATTAGTGGTGTGGGGCTCTTCTGAAGTTTATGGTACTTTACAAGTTGTGTGAAATTGCAACAGTAAAATCTGTGGCTTTAAACAACAGGGTGCAAGTCAGTCGCATATAAGAGTGAAGATTTAGCAAGTTTCTTCAGTAAAATGCCGTGAATTGCTTGACTTTTTCAACTAGGTGTGCTTGAAAATTATTACAAGTGGTGATGGTTAACTACAGTGTATTTTTTTTTCAAATTGATTTTAATACATGAATAATGATTGATACAGATTGTTGACATATTATTTTACATGAAATTGAAAAGTTTGTATGTTGCTCTCTCTCTCTCTCTCTCTCTCTCTCTCTCTCTATATATATATATATATATATATATATACAAAGCACTTAAAATTACCAATGACATGAACAATAGAAATTGTCAAATTTTTGGGATTCCCTGTCCCTTCCTCAGGACAAAAAAAAGGGATTAGAAGGTCATAAAAACAAAGGGAAAACAAAAAATAACTAGCACTACAAATAAACTATACCTTATATATTTCAATATATACATTTGTGGTATCTCTCTATTATATAAACATGCAGAGAGCAAATATCTTCATACCTGTATGAAGTTTTTTGAAGGTCATAGGTCATTACGTGACCTAATCACACAGCGCAGTAATATCTACATAAAAAGACTTACTCCACTTAGCAATATAGCATGTTTTTCATGCATAAAAATGTACAAAATACGCAAGTAAAATAATAATAATTTTATTTACAATGTAAACGAGTATTTAATACAGTTCTTGATCGATTTTATATAGAGAATAGAAAACTACGTGTTATAACTTATAAGTTTCATGTCTGAGCTGCATATCTCAACGTTTACCCTTATTTTTCTCGCAGACCTCTGAATGCTATAATTTTTTTTCATTAAACTTTACTCACAATAAATTTGAAAATCTGTTGAAAAATATCATTGTAATGCAATCACGCCACAAACAGCTGACAAACACTGCAGTTTGGAACATGTTGGAAGTTCGGTAGGCACACCTCCATCATCGAGATCGTTGTGACGTTGTCTTTTTTAAAACAATGTAAGCTGTCGCCAGTGTCTCCATATCAACATCATAAATTAATGAATATACCTTACTGAAATCGTAGATTTTATGTTTTTGATCAAATTTTGTACTTGATTTCAAGTTATCTGGTCCGGACAGGTGTCTCCATCCATCCCTTTCCGACCGAAATTCCTCCAACTTTTAATTATCAAACATCGGACGTGTTTCTTGTGTTTTTTAACATCGAATATGGGTTCTCATGAATACAAAAATTCCCAGACATCAATGTGCTCACTATAATTGATCACAAGTAGCCGTTCACAGAATATCCCCTTCAAAACAGAATCATTTGCCAGATGAATTTGAAGCGTAACCGCTTTTCAAGCCGATTTACACCTAGCGTAATTTGTCAAAATCTACGACGTACAGTTAGTGCAATATTTATATTCGATTACATTCAATTGTCCGTCTCAAATGTATATATAAGTAATAAATAACAAGTTTAAAAACTTCAATGGGAATTGAAGTGGGTCGGTACGTGATCAAATCTTCTGAGAAGGCCTTCGGCCTTCACAGGATTTGATCACGTGACCGACCCACTTCAATTCCCATTGAAGTTTTTAAACTTGTTATTTATTTCTTAATTACAATTTTATATTTAATTTGAAAACTAACTGATTAGAAATGATTGCTGATCTCTATGAAATATATTATATCTGGTCCATCTGATGCATTCTAGTAAAGTGATATTTACATATTTGAATGAATTATCTCTATGCAAGTGAGTTAAGGCTTGATATAGGTATTTCTATGCAAATAAACTAATTAAAATGCCTAAGGACTATATCCATTATACAGAGAAATTTAAAACTTATTGTCTAATACATACTTGATACCCACGACATGATATAGCCAGTAAACATTATGACGTCATTGTTCATTACTACACAAGATTATAAATTGAGGACAGCAACAAAAATGCTGTGGCACATTTAGGGCATGCTCTATTTTATTTAACTGAAACAAGGTATATTTAGAAGCAAATTATTCCAATTGCTGGTACTGCTGCACAAATATCAACAACTCAGTTGTTTAATTACTATTTGTAAAGTTTTATGTTGAATCAGGGTAAAAATGTACAGTCCATATAAGTTTCCTCAAATTTCGATCAAATGAGAAATTGCCTAGGATATGTGCAGCAGTTTTATTAATCTATAGAATATTCTTCTTAGCATTATACAATTTTTATGTAAAATTAAATAGGGTAATCCCTTGCGCCGAAGCTGTTTTGTTGATGTTCTTTATTACCTCGAGTAAGTAAGAACAATGACGTCATAATGTGTACTGGCTACAACATATCGTGGGTACTAAATATATATAAGAAAATAAATCAAAACTTTCTCTGAATAATAAATATACTTCTTTAGCGTTTTTATTAGCTCATTTGCATAGAAATGCTATACGTAGTCTTAACTCACATGCGTAATTAATTACAACAAAGTGGTAAATCATACATTAATTTTCAACTTTCTAAATTATACATAGGGTTTAATTGTAGTACATGTATTAGTTGTTTTTGTTTTTCTTTTGTTTTAATGACTTTCTAATTTTTTCTCTGTCCTGAGGAAGGGACAGGGCATCCTAAAAATTTGACAATTTCTATTGTTTGTGTTGTTGGTCATTTTTAGTGCTTTGTATCTGTGACCTTGTATCTTTTTTATTTAGTAGATCCAACACAGTATGATATACAGTGTTGTTGGTTTTACATAAATATATGGCATATTTATAATTGGTAAATAATGTTCTATTAAACATATATCATTAGACACTTGGTGACTCGAAAGTAGTATGTAATAAAAATTATAGCATATTGCATATACAGTTTCAAGCATCAATATCTCGAATACCATGGATAATATGTGATGAGTAGGAAGTTCCAATCACTATTTCTTTATGTATTGAAACCCAAATATCTGCAACCCTTGGATCTCTCTCTGTTTTTTTTTTTTTTCTTGGTTCCATCGATTTCGAGATAATGAAATTTTGACTGTATATACATTTTTGCATATACACTGTAAGTAAGTTTTAAGCACTTAAATTCAAGTGGATTTCATATTGTTCAAAAGATGTATGAGGAACTATAGCATTTTTCCTTCTTTTTCTTTCAGTCTTTCAAGACATTGGTACCACCGATCCCAATATTTGACAAGCTAAATGACACCTATTCCCAAGGTCAAGTGTTCTAATGACCCAGACTGCCAACTAACAAAAGGCAATACATATATAACTAAAATTATACTTCCATCCATTTCAAGAGAAGAACTTATTTCAGGAGAACTTTAAAATGACTTGGAAAGTACCGGTACATATATTTTAAGTTCTGTATTTATAGGAAATAAATTTTATTTCTGTATCATAATTGTGAAAAATATATCGCATTTACTTGATGTTGTGAATTTTTTGTTTTATTTTATTATTATTTTTTTTTGTTTATGTGGTGAATTTTCATCAAATTCTGTAATTGTTATTATTACTTCTGATAGTATGAAATGTATTCTCCATTGTAAATAAATCATGTCTATGACATCTTCATATTGTTATAAACAAATCATGCCTGTTAGTTATTATATGTTAAAATTCTTTAACAAAAAGAGTACGTTAAATTAATTTATCCCATAAAAAATGCTCTCAGTAAAGATTGAATCACAAAATCCTAAGGAACATGTACAGTGTATGTGCACAACAACAATCCACCGAGACTATTAGGCTGTTCCAGCAATCAATACTGTTTGACTGTGACCATTTTGTGACAACACAATTTTATACAGCTCTACTAACGGAAAGCCAGAATCACAGGAAGGAGATATAGCCATACTACTGTTGTAAAAATGATTTACTATCTGTATCTCTCTTCTTATTAATAACCAACAAATCAAGTCTTCAATTTTAATTTACATGTATGGACGGATGCTGTAAAACCTTCAATATTCAATTACATAAAACAAGAAGTACAGGTACACACAGATTTACATCTGTACATTTTACTTTGTATTAAATACTGTTCCCTAAGATGGTGCAAAGTTCAACAATATATCAAATTGTTGTAAAGGCGAACAATATAGACCACATAAATCAATGAAAGTTTTGAAAATAACTAACAAAGTGGTTGTACATATGTACTTAAATCTTTAAACAAGGCCCTTTGCATTGCAGAAGCCCTGCAACAAGTCTCATGTTAGCAGTCCTAAGGTAGAACTTGATCCCCGAAGTCATTTTCCTCCGTCTGCTCGGTCTGTGTAAACAGTTCTGATGTCACCTCCGTAAACAGCCGATCCCAATCCCAAGGCCGGTCCTCCTAGTGGGAAAAAGATCAACAATTTATATCAGGAATCTCGCTAAATATACAAGGAAATTATACAGAAACAAAAACAGAAATATTTGACATGTATAATAAAGGACCTATATACTCACGGGATAGGCAACTTTCCCATATGTTGCAGGATTTCACAAGTCAGTTTTAAATAAAATATATTTCTTATGCTATCAAATATTTCAGAACAAAACCTTATCGATCAAAAAATTATTGAAGATTTGTTTTGGCACTGTTTAAACTCCTCATCTTAGTACAATTATGTTGTATATTCAGGATCAACAGGTCCCCTGATTATCCGTATTTCTGAGAATTTGCCAGACATTTGATTTCTTTGAGAATTTGATTTCTTTGGTGGTTGTTTGCTTTATATTTATTTTACAATGTATGCTTAAAAATTTATTAAAAATCCATTCCAATAACCAAAAAGAACAGATTACATTTATCAGAAAACAAACTTTTGATGAGAATAAATGTAGTTTGAAAAACTTGTGTGCAATGTTTTGGGCAAATAAACATGGTGCTCAAGGAGTTGTCAACCCTGTCAGAATAAACATCCCTGGTATAATGTACAGAAATGAAAATAATGCCTAAAATCTCCTTTACACAAAAGTGAGGAACTTTGAGAGATTGCTGAACATTCATAAATTCTCAGTGATATCTTAGAATGGTCAAATCAGTAATCGCCATGATCTCTTAATAATCTCCCAGAGATCTCCTTGGTCTCAAAGTTTTCACACTACCTAAAACAGTCTGTCAATCATCACAAAAATAAGAAGTCTCTCAGAGGTCTTTAAAAATACACAAAATGGTTTGAACTTCTAAAAGTAGATATATCTGACAATGACCTGCCTACCCCAAACAATTGTAATTGTACTTTTCTACCAGTCTGTCCATAAGATGTGACTTTTATGCAGAAGATTATATACATTTAATGCAAAAAAATACAACAGTATTCACATAAAAAAGAAAGTAACTGAATATTGTACTCAGAGAACATGCTTTAATGTAATACTCAAAATATATATGATGACACTGAACAACTTCACAAGTTGTCAATTTTAGTCTGGACATTTTTGCCTGTTCATTGGACAGATATCTGTGATAAAAATGCTTGATTTATGACAATTTTCTATCACTCGAGTAACCATACTGCTGAACTTCTCTTGGCAATAATTTTAAAAACAAAACTGATGAAAATTCGAAGATCAGGAGTTTTGGCCTTCAATTTTTAAAGGTTAATTAGGGGGTCAAAAATTGTAAAAATTATGGGTAAATCAGGAAAGTAGGCAGGTCTGTGTGACAGATCTGTGAGAGACTACTGACAGACAAGTTGAGCTTACTGGAGACTACAGTGGAGATCTATGGGAGATCAATGTCTGCTTATGAGATCATTGAAATCAAGACTGGAGTGAAATCTAAGAGACTGCTGTGGCATTATTCTCCATTTTTCATTGCACATTAAGCACACTACAATGGTGTCCAGTCACTTCGTACACAAACCGAGTTGTACACAAACCAACTCGTATACAAAAAGTCAACTCGTACACAAAAACCAGAAGTCAACTCGTACACAACATTTATATACAATCGTTATGATTTAATTTTATACAAATAATGTTTGATAACACAAAGTGTTACTTTTCTTTAAGTTTTTTAAGTTTTTTTCCCTAAATATTTAAATAATTCAACTTCCCTGATAGGATAGGAACATCAAAGACATCAAAGAAGTATTGTTAAACCAACATCCGCGCGGTGGTTTCTTGGATCTGCGAAAAACGCTAATTACGAGATGCTCATAATTCGGTATCCTTTAATTATGAGATACTATATGTATCGAAAACGTCTCCAAGTTTCTTCATTCCTTATACTTCACCATGGTTCGAGAGAGTTGTCTTTCCTGCAGCAAGACGGTAAGTTTTTAAAACTTTTTTCATTTAAATAAGTTTAGATAAGTGCAAGAAAAATGTGTTATACAGTATACCATTAAATTCTTACCATGTATTTAGATCGAATTTACTATCTACACTATATATCTATTTAACATAATAAATTAGGATGCTATAAAATATTATATTCTACATCAACATGCATTACTTGCATAACAGAAAACTTTTTAGAAATATAAAAACTACCTATATCAATTCTGTTGACAATTAGAAACATAATAAATTAGGATGCTATAAAATATTATATTCTTCATCAACATGCATTACTTGCATAACAGAAAACTTTTTAGAAATATAAAAACTACATATATCAATTCTGTTGACAATTAGAAATCCATTTGAATTAAGTTTTTCAACTACATATTTAACAAATAAAATATTTAAATATACAATATAAGAATTATTTAAGATAATTCCGTTTATTTAAGAATTAATGCAAGAATTAAGAATGAATTTGACAATCTTGATTTAGTTAACTCATGTGCCAAAATGTTGATACAATTAGAGAATATGTTATAGTTAAGCAATGTGTCTTTGATGTGTATAGCCAATTAAGATTAAGATAAAAGTTAAGTTAAGTTAAAAATGTACAGAAAACACATTTGTGTACGAGTTGACTTCTCAATTTTTTTGGAAACTATGGCAAATATTACCTTAAATCACATAGGAAAACGTATGTATGAGTTGTGTACCAGTTGACTTCTGGTTTGTATTCGAGTTGACTTTTTTTTGTGTACGAGTTGACTTTTTGTATACGAGTTGGTTTGTGTGCGACTCGGTTTGTGTACGAAGTGACTGCAAATCACTACAATTTCCCTGAATGTTTGCACAAAAGCTGATTTTCTGAGATTTCAGGGATTGCTGAAAGATTGGACATTTATAAGTTTTAAATCACCCAAAGGTTTATCAATAATCTCCATGTGTGTAAAGGAGTCTTAATGAATGAAAAAACTACTCACTTCAAATAGATCAGCGTCAGCTGACAAGGACTTGGTCAGTAACTTTAGGTCAATCTCATTGTCCTGTGGCAGAATTATTAAAAACATTCAGTGCTGCATGACAGTTTTTAAAAAAAAATTCTTTTTTTTCACATTCCATATTAAGCTAACAATAACTCTCTTGCACAAAATTGTTTTTTTTTTTTTTTTTTTTTTTTACATTTTCTGATTTCAACCTGTAACTATTAAGATAAACATCCCATGTAAGATGATATAAGGAAAGAAAATGTACAGTAAAACATGCTTCTACATGCTTGCTTGTAGTGAATTCAGGCTCTTAATAAGGTCATAGATGGTGACTAAAGAATATCATACAGAATGATAAATAATTGCATGTATAAAATTTTCTGAATAGGGATTAAAAACACTTAAGTCAACTGACCAGTGTTAGAAAAGCAGCTTGTTTCTGAAGGTCATGGTCAAGCTCCCGGTACGTAGCCACTCTGTTGACTGCCACACTGAAAGGCAACACAAAATCTTCCTTTATAAATATGAATAAAAACGAGATTCTTTCCTGTTACTTTGACAACTGAGTCCAATCTGTTGAGAAAAAGAAATAAAAGAATTTGCTATTAATTAAAAAAAAAGCCAGTTACTCAGTAAATGTGTTATGGATGATGAAAATAACAGTAAACATGAAGAAATCTACCTACGAACATGACTGGTAGTTCTGTAGAAGGTTTTTAGATATTATTCCTAAGTATTCCTTTGTAAAACTTTGATCACCCAAAGTGGCCCCACCCTATCCCTGGGGAAAATTTAAAATATGAAATGACTCTTCACTTCCTCTAGAAATTAAATCCCCATACACCAATTTTTGTTTCCCTGCAAACCACAAAAATCTGACCCCACAAACATAAGTGATTTACAGTAAATAATGAGTATAAAACAAACAGTTTACTAGAGGACCATTTATTCCATACATATAATTATTACCTGTGACAAGGCATTCCCAAGCATTCTACGATTTTTTTACCCATGACCTTGACCTTAACCTAATTTTCAAAAATTTTCCCATTGATTATAATTTTTGAATGACAGAAGATAGGGCGTTCATATTTGACAAGTGCATTATCTGTGTCAAGAAGTTTCCAAATGTGCTATATTTGACCCTGTGACCTTGACATTCAAATTTGAACTTATTTTCAAAAAATTTATCACTGCTGCTGACTTTTGAAGGAGAAAAGATAGGGTATTCGTATTTGACATGTACACTACCTGTGACAAGACCTTTCCAAATGTATTATGATTTTTAACCTTTTGACCTTGACCTTGAAGTTTGACCTAATTTTCTAAAATTTTAACATTGCCGATTTTTGAATGAGAGAAGATGGGGCATTTATATGTAATGTGCATCACCTATTTCAAAACCTTTCCAAATGTACTCTAGTTTTTGACCTTGTGACCTTGGCCTATAGGTTTCACCTACAGTCTTTACTTTTTCCATTGGTAATATCTTCTGAATGAGAGAAGATAGGACTTTGATATTCTGCATGTATGTTACTTATGACAATAACCTCTTAGAAACGTATATCAATTTTTGACTTCATGATTTTGATCTATAAGTTTAAAAGACACACAAACAAGACAGTTAAAATATGCCATAAAATCGTTGCATCCAAACCACTAAGACACTGAAAGCAGGGGACCATAATTCTTTGAATTAGCTTGTACCAATTTTTTCAACAACTATTTCTACTCTATTCATAGCAATTTAACTTAAAAACCTACTTTGGTGCCATGGCGATCTTTGTTGTCATGTCCTCATCCTGTTGCTCTTCAAGATCAGGAATCACTGGGATATCTAGTAAGGTAATAGCTAGGTTACCTTTACTTAACACTTACTTAGCTCTGCACAGAAGATTCTTTGATAACTGTTATTAACATAACTGAACTAAATATGAACATCATTGTTATAATGTTACATTCTGTGGTACACCAATAAAAGTAAACCTTTGTCAATTTTAAATATTCTAGACAAAGAAACAATGAGGTAGAAAAATTCTGAAGATTGACATTTGAAGTTGCAGGTAAAGCAAAAAATCTTTTGCCTAATGCATTAGTGAAGTATACTCTATGAAGATGTGAACAAATCAATGTATGCTAGATATTTATCATTTAAATTTCTGCATGAGAATTTTTGTACTTTAAATAAGGCCTTTCAATTAATAGTAACCTGTGTCAGAATCTTCCTCTTTATCAGGTGAATGAGGCCTCAATCTCTCACTACAACAATAAAGACATGAAATCAACAATAGGTTCACAATAGGTTCCAATGGAGAAAAATTTATATATTGGAAATTTATCTTACTACAAGAATACAGACATGTAATCAACAGTAAGGTCCAATGGAGGAAAATTTATACATTGTAAATTTATCTTAATACAAGAATACAGACATGTAATCAACAATAGGTTCCAATGGAGAAAAATTATATATCATAAATGCATTTCACCATTAAAAAATATAAGAACCTAGAATTATATTTGTGCAGTATAAACCTTAACAAGTTAAACTTCAAAAACTGAGTTGTCAAAATGTTTACTCTGTAAAAATTCCATACATATGCCAAATTACTGAAACATGCATTTCATGTATCGGCAAGATAAATTTCTATGGTGCACATTTTTATGGTGCAGTCTCATGGTTAAGCAAGGACATCTAGGTAAGTACTTCAATTCTTGGTCTGCTATGAGTGAGGATTGGTGTGTGGTTGTAAAACTAGAGGTCTCATAGAACACTAATTGACACAATATTTATTGACATATTATGTTTTTTCCTAAACTTCTGACAATTTTCAAACACTCAGTTCTTTATATGAAATGCTTTTAATGTCTTGAGAGTAAATTTTTATACTTTTTAAAATTTGTGAAAGAAATTACTCGTAAGCTAAATATTAAAATAAATAAATCATTAAAAGAGTAGTCTAGCACTAAATATGTAATAGGATTGTATCAAAATAATATGCAAGTATATATTCTTCAATTTCATTACACATATATAGATATATGATTCATTTACTTTATGTAATGGTTTTACGACTTGAATAAGTTTAACACATTTGGGTTTCTCTACACTCAAATGATTCTGTGCAGCAAACAAATATTGAGTGAAAATTTGCTCTGTCACTTTTACAAGGGATCACTGCAACAGGCTCACTCGGGATTTACCCAAATAAACGACTGTCAATGTCATCCAGCAAATCACTGTTCAAAAACAAACTCAATGGTAAAGTTCTACACATTAAACAAGCAGTGCATTTCAATTGAAATCAAATTACTGTGTGTACAAATTAAATTATGGCTAGCTATTACATGCATCATGAAGCTGAAAAATATCATTAGCTTTGTCACTGTTCATAAACTTTCTCATCGTCACAAACCACGGTTTTGAGTCCTGATGATAGAGAGAATCAACATGAATCATTTGTGGGTTACCAACGATGAAACATTCTTTACATCAAACTTTCACATTGTTTAAATATGACCAGTGCATGAATAATAACTATCATTAACCAATCTGCATGCAATTCTTAAATATGCAAAAATCAAAACAAATATAAACATCAGAATGATGATAGAAACATATATATGTATTCAAAATTGAAACAGAAACTGCAAATTTTTAATATTTTCATATTGCATTTCGGTGTATGTGAGTAGTGCAAAAATATAAAAGATAATCGTCTCAAATTATATTTGGTAACACAAAAATGAATTATTTTATCATGAATTAGACATTACATTTTAGTATACTTATAATTCATTTTTAAAACAAATTTACTCAAGGCACATTATTGCAAAAGGAAAATTACATTTTACCCTTTATCACAAATGTTAAATAATACTAAAGTCATCTCCTTAAAATGGTAAATGATTCTGTTCATACCCAGAGAGAGTTACAGATTCAAGTTTGAAAAACAGAATACTGATGTCACAGACATAGGACAGATATACAGAACCCAAATCCTAAAATGGATAGATCTGACCATTCCTTTCAAATGATTCTTAACACAGAAATTAAAACATCAAATCAAAGTAGAAGACCCTTCATCAACAACAGAAACTGTAAACATACTTTTTTCAACGTGGGATAAATTTCCACTTTGCATGCTGTCACAATTTGTTACAACATACGTAAGATTCATCGAGGACATATAATGACTATCCAAGAAATCCGAAGATTTTTTTACTAGCGGATTGAATAGAAATTGTGATTTCCCGGAATTATGACCCGTGGAATAAAGTATGTTTTACTTTACAGTATTTGGATGGTGATTATATGTATTTAACTTACATATCTTAATACAAAAGGGGAAAACGGAGGCATATTATATGGGTTATTGTGTATGATAAATAACCTATTAAATCCCATCCTTTTATTTAGAGAGAGCTGAGTATAATTCTTATATGTAAGGTAACAGAGAAAGCTGAAAGCTAGTTGGTGAACTTCTCTCTCTAATTATATAAAGTAGCTGCTTGGTGAGAGATGTTGTAACTGAAGCCTCCACTACAGAGGAGGTGTGCAAGATCAACAGAAAGAAAAATATCTGTAATACATTGCAACATGCAGCTTACTTATTGCCACTGAAAGTAAAAGAAAGGAGAAAACAGTTCAGAATATTATCAAAAACTATCTGGTAGCAAAAATGGATAGCACTGTGGATTCTCTTTTGTAGTTTTATGGGGAAATTGTCACAGTCTTTATAAAGCAAGATTTTTTTCCTCAAGAATTAGTGCTAAAATTTAAAATACATTGAAATAGTACAACCTAACAACAATAATTTTATATGAGACATGTTTTTAATGTAAATACTGTGTACAAACATATGCTGTGTTCTACAAATGTAAAATATAATAATTATCTTACTTCAAACACTACTCTGACTTCTACATAGAGTCATAACAAACTGCACGTCTTCTTATCAATAATACAAACCAGAACAATCTACAGTAATTATGCAAATATGTTATATATACTATACTATCTATTCCTTAGCAACACAATAAGCATCTAGGTTATAGATGTACTCACTCATCAAAGTCAAATCCTTCTCCGAGTTTTCGACTAAAACAAAAATAACAATAACAAAAACTTTAAAAAACAGATCATAATTGTAAATTGAATATGATATAAAAATAACTACAGTGTACAACTGACATAGATCAAAATATGTATTTTCTCTTTGAAAAATAATTCTAACAGAAGTGAACCTTTTCCTGGGATTCTCCTCTCCCCATCCAGAAACCCTGTTTGGCTTTGGAGGTGGTCCACCCTGCAAAAAAACAAAAATAATTTCATTGAATCAAACAATTTAAACAAGACATTTATAGCTAGTGCAGCAAATGATGCAAAGTGCCACTCCCACTGGAACCTCTTAAAGCAAACCTGGGTGAAGAGAAAATTCCGACTGTGCACATTGATCCAAATGATTTTTTCCACATTTACCTCTTGACTCCCAATCCTTTGCAAATTGCATCTCACCACAAACTATGTTCTCACGGTAACAACAAAAATTTCTCAAAAAATAAACACACCTTGATTTAATTGATATTGCAGATAGATAGTATATTAAACATTCTTTGTTAAAAATTTGCACTTTTCGGACTTCATTATGGAAATACAACTAATGCACAAAGTCATGTAATGGCACAGTCTACCCCTTACAAATGTTTAGTGCAGTTGGAAGAGGCAAATATAAGTTAAAAATCAATAGGTTGGTTATCAAGTTATACACAACTGTGCTCTCCCCAACAGTTGCACTGTCAACTTATTACAACAATGCAATTTATAATAAAGCAGTCTTCAAAATAAACTCTTATTAACATGCTTTAAATTTAATTTTGACAAAACTTGAATGCACATTATTGTAGTAAGGTCAGATAAATAAGATTTTGTGAAAATATTAAATGTGTTCATTAATTTCTTTTCATGTTTACCTGGCCATAGGGTTGTGTTGTTTTGTACAGTTTGGAAGTGTCATGTGATATATTATCATTAAAATTGAGGTCTTGCCCTGTCCTGCTATTGGTTAGGTCATTTTGTATACATATGTATATAGCTTAACTGGTCAGTCAGGTGGTAAATTTATTTCATGCAGACCATGCCTTTTACTTTCTACCCAGACCTTAGTCTTGATAGCAGCAAATTAGCTTTCTCTTACTAATTTTACTTATTTTGTTGTTTATTTAATTCTCTATACTTTTGACTATGACATTTAAAGTAAATATATAAAGTTTATCTAAAGCTAAAGACTTGAATAAATTAATTATTTTGCTTGATTAAAATACCAATTGGTTTTAAATAATCTGAATGTTAAAAACTATATTTAATGTATATGCAGCACCTTGAACTGTTTTACATTATTTTGATGACTAGGTGCTGGGTTACCATATGATTTGACGTAAATTCAGTAATTTAAAAGCCCCCAAACACATTGTCTTTGATAAGAACATGTATTATATATTTTATTTATTTTTTATTACTTTGAATTGGCTATAAGGTGTGTTTGACAAATATTTTTGATCTACCAAGCTTAATTACCGAAATCCATTTTTATTTCTATTTTTATGTTTTATCTGTAAAGTCCTATGAATATGTTCAGTTGAAATTAAGAGTTATTGCCCTTTATTCAGAGTGCTGTACTGTACTTATCATGAAGGAAAGCATAATATTGATCATTATGTCACACCATTATATTTCATGTGATATATGTGTGTTTATGTTTGTAATTACTTGCTTTGCAGATTTATATGTATTTATAATTCCAATTTTAAGGCTCAATCCAGATGATTACTTAAATAAACATGTGAACTGTCACAGCATCTTTATTCTTATTAGACCTTTAAAATTATTCTAACATATATTCACTTAACAACCATTGAAATAATACAGCATAAAATGTAGTGATTACCTCATCTTCATCTCTTGGTTGAGATCGTGTGGGTTTTGGGGAATCTGCAGGGCTTTCAAAGGCTGGGGCATCCGGAGGATTCCTCGGATTTGAAACACCTGCTCTTCGACCTCGTTTTACATCCTGAAATGCCATGAAATAAGAGACATATTGTTATTCAAATTATGTCTCTGATGAAATTAATGTTTATAAAATTATTGATGCAACAATGGCTGTAGACAGGTAGATGGAAGGATCAACTAACCTAATTCAATGTTCAATTAAAAACGCAACATAAGTTAGTAACATTAAACAATAGATGTATATGACTGCTAGCACATAATACGAGTATAATCTGTATATGCATAATTTCATGTTTAAGAGTGTATTATTAAAGCCATGAGAGTTTATATAGTTATAAGAAATGCCAACGTTACCCTTGAAGGTTTAGCAGCAGAATCAAAATCCAGTTCATCATCCATCGTCAAGAAAGATTATTATTTTTTAGCTCTGTAAATTAAAAAAAAAACTTTACTATTATAGTATCTATTTTGTGTTACTACATAACAAGTATCACCCAAAAGAATGTTACCGGAAATAAATGTGTTAACATACCAAAAGAACCAAGGCTTATCGTTAGCCAAAATCCGAGATAGTCATAATCAATTTTTGTATAATCTGACGTAAAAACAGTTTCAAAATAAATCATTATAAAATTCTGAATGAAAATCATAAACATAATAGCAATTTTTATGCCGAAATATTGATTTTATAAGCGACCGTAAAACACAATAGAGACACGGAGGGAGGATGTCAACCTGATAATCTGGAACAATCTCTACTATTTATCTAAATCAAGAGAGAGAGAGAGAGAGAGAGAGAGAGAGCATACAAAGGGAAAAAGTGTTTTTTGGGGAGGGGGGGTTGCAGCCGAACTCCACTGTTCCAAGAATTGTACTATATATAATTATATTCTATTTTTATCCCTATTGCTCTTAATTAATAATTAATTTTCTCTATCAGTGAAAAAAGACGCTTACTTTTAAAATTAACAACTGAAAAAGAAATTGTCAATCTATCAAAAGACCACCACGGGATATATTTAATTCATTAGAAGTGTACTACAGTAGTAGGATTAAAGGTGTTTAATTACTTACCCGCCAGATTAGGGGGTCGTTGTCACGGTGACGCAAGACAATAGCGTGAGGTCACAGTAGGAACTATACATTATTTCCTCACTATCAGCTGGCTTTATTTTAAATCACATTTTTTTAGATTTGGGTGACCAAAATGTAATTTACTGAGAGGAAAAAAATATTTCGTTTTCTGTCTCTTGTGCTTGTCCCACTTGTGTATTCTCTGCCTCAAAGAAAACTCAGGAGAAATTATGGAAACTCCTGCCGAAAGACGGATGAGGTTGTATGGACCCTCCCGAAACCTTAAGGTCCAGGAAATTCGAGAAAAACTATCAAAAAGCTGTGTCCTTAAAGATGGAGAATATAACTTCACCGCGAACAAGCTCAAAGATGGGATATTTGACACAAGTTACGGGCGGGACTTTCCTGTGAGTGTATATCTCATTAATTATAAGTTTCTTTAATCCATTTCTGGACTTTGTATAGTAGAATTATTGATAGACACTTTTGAAAATCAATGATCTTACAGTGTAACAATTTTAGTTGCTAAAACCTGAATATAGAACATCTGTAGAAGTGAATGCAATTAGTTCGTAAAAAGGATTCTAACTTGATTTTAACTATTTAACCTGACATATAATATTATGATAATATTTTTTTTTTTTTCAAATAAAAATGAAAATTCTCATTCAATGAATAAAATTTATAATACAGTTCTCGACTGTTTGGTGAATATGAAAAATAATCCATCGACACGGACTTAAAATACTTGTAATGAACGACAAATGAGTTCTTTAATCAGTTTAAAATACATTCATTGAGTCGATCTGGGCTGGAAAAGGGATATAGATTAAATATATACAGCGTGAAACACAATCTTATCAAAGAAAACCTGCAGTTGGTTTGTGGTAGAAATAACACATACACAATGGACGTTTTTCCGGAACATTGGATATCGTTCATTAATCAAAGATCATTTACTACAACCATCGATAAAGCGGACAGGATTTGCAATCTTGACTATTTTGAACACAGTTTGAGTAAATTAAGTGGGTGCGAAACAGACATAATAATTAATAATTTCAAAATTATTATGTGCAGTACTTTTGCAATGCTTTTATGTTTTTTATGTAAATCGTGCATGAATGAAGTATACTGAACTTATTAAAATTGAAAAACAGTTGATTATTACTGTAATATTGTCTTTGAAAGCGGGAGGGGGCATTATTGAGAGAACACCATCTATTACGTAAAATAAACATATAGGTGTCTTTTCTGTAGCCAAAGAGCCAAAACACGGTACGTTACAATCGATAAAAGAATTATGTTTGTGTCGTTTTTTGTACATAAAATTTGAATCATGCAATATCATCCATGCTTTTCAAAATAGTTTCAGAGTAGTTTTTGAGTGTTGCACAATTGGGGAAATGATATGGACCATTTGTACAATTTGCACACTTCATATGACTCATTTTCTGTCCGAGACAGGTTCATATAGTGCATGGATAACCCTTCTTCCACGCATGCAATATACTAGTATATAATTTCTTGCTTATCTTTACAATAAGTAAAATTTCTTGATTATTTTGAACATATTCCTTTAATTATTGGTAACAAGTTCTTACAACCTACCGGTTTCTCTCGTTGAAAAATACAGCAAGGAAACGAGGGAGGTAAAAAGACATACAATGGGAAAGGGGACCTGGTACTTGCGATTTTTTTTTATTTATTTTATTTTATTTTTTTTGATACATTAACGCATTTTTGTGGATAAAAATTAGACAGATGAGTTTTAACTGATAGTACCAAATGTAATTAAAACATTATTATTTATTCTTCATGTTTGTTTGTGAGTCAGTCTGTGGTAATGATTCTGTACCAATATCATTATACAGGGTGCATCTCTGGATCCAACAGCCCTACAGGAGCAACATGGACAGGTAAGTCGTATGTGTAAAATATACCTGCTGCTTGCATGTACCAAAAGATGAATCCACAATGTCAGTGAATTATATAACTATCATAAAATTTTACAGTTGGATCATCATTTCTATCTTGGAAACGACAGCGGAGGTCTGGTTCCCACGGAGACGTACCAACAAAGTACGACCAAGTCTGACTTCACAGAGCAGTCCTATAGTAAGGTATACACGCAAATATCCGCATCCTGTAGTTACGTAAATATAAACGAAGAGTAAATTAAAAAAATACAAACGCACAGAGCAGTAAGGTATATAAAAACACACACACAATGTATACACACTTACAAGTATATACAAACAGAAAAACATACAGGGCAGTAAGGTATAAACAAAGGAAAAAACATGCAGAGTTGTAAGGTATATACAAACAAACACATAGAACAGTAAGGTACTATTTATATACAGACAGACATACACATGAAGCAGTAAGGTATATACAAACAAACACACAGAGCAGTAAGGTATATACAAACAGACAAACACACAGAGCAGTAAGGTATATACAAACAGACATACACACAGAGTAGTAAGGTATATACAAACAGACAAACACACAGAGCAGTAAGGTATATACAAACAGACATAAACACAGAACAGTTAGGTATATACAAACAGACCTACACACAGAGCAGTAAGGTATATACAAACAGACAAACACACAGAGTGGTAAGGTATATACAAACAGACAAACACACAGAGCAGTAAGGTATATACAAACAGACATACACACAGAGTAGTAAGGTACTATTTATATACAAACAGAGATACACATGAAGCAGTAAGGTATACATGTATATACAAACATACAGAGTAGTAAGGTATATACAAACACACAGCAGTAAGATATATACAAACAGACAAACACACAGAACAGTAAGGTATATACAAACAGACATACACACAGAGTAGTAAGGTACTATTTATATACAAACAGAGATACACATGAAGCAGTAAGGTATATATATATACAAACATACAGAGTAGTAAGGTATATACAAACACACAGAGCAGTAAGGTATATACAAGCACACAGAACAATAAGGTATATACAAACACACAGAGTTAACAAAAACAACGTCACTTAATAAACACTATAGTGAGATACAAATATATAGATATACATACAAAGCTATAGAAATCATGCATACATTAGGGCAAATACACACACTCACACACACCCACATGAAGAAAGAGATATTCTACAATTAGACAAATGCATCCTCTCATAAAGAGCAGTCCTTTGGTAAGTCCCAAAGGGGAAAGGGACAGCCATTAATTTCGGGTTACTATAGCAACGTGCTGCTGAAATAGGTAACATAACCTTCTCCTGTTTCAAAATACATGAGTAAAAAAATCTAGTTTAAATATAACACAAGGTCAATAGTCTTTATACATGTATATGAAAATCCCTTTGTTTAACTCAGTTGCTGGTGTTTTTAAAAACTTTGATTCAACCAGATATTCTAATAACAAAATATTCACCTTAGCTATGTAAAAATATGACTAGATGAGTAATGTATGCATATTTTACCTATTTGTATATACAATAAATGAACAAATTTGAGGATCTGAAATAAAATATATTAAAGGTACTGCTGGGCTATAATACATGTAATTCACTGGAACAACACTGCCCCGGCCCCGCCCCCTTCTTAGAAATATAATTTTGTCGGGTACACAGGATGCGAGGCGGATCCGACATAAGTACACATCAGTGCAATGTTTAAAATCACTATAGCCTTCTTAAATTTGAAAACAGATCATCATGTTAGTATTGGAGTATAAGTAGACAAATGTAACACTTACGGAGATTAACAAAGACAGACGTACAATTAATAGTCATGCACTCATTAGCAATTGAAAACTGTTAATATTGAAAGGCACTAAAAATAAATGTACAGTATACCTGTTGTTGTCACTAACTATGAAACGATAACAGGCTATTATTACTATAGCTTAGTATAAACACTGTAGACAACACAGTGACAACACTAGTGGGTATGAAACAGAGAACTCTCAAAAATCTTCCAATTTATGCGAACTCTGTCAGACAAACATCTCGGAAATATGCCGATTCTTTTTTTTTTCCAAAACCTAAAATTAGCTCAAAATGCGTAGGCAGTTAAAATATTCCATGCAGCGACAGTTGACAATTTCTTTGCACTTTGCTTTCGAACGTTATAATTTTTTTATAATTCCTATGGGCGATCTCCAGAAATGTCCGTGGCACACACGAAATGTGTCAATATTACAATTTTTGACTTCTGACGAAGAAAAATTGGTCCCCTGATATTGAACCATTAAAGTTAATGCTATTTTTTCTCATATAAATGCCATTAATGAGATGATAAGGCGGCATTTATATTTGGAGAGGTATATGTTTCAGCTATTCCGAGTTTTCTCTCTGTGTAGAGTCCACCTTACATGCGAAACCTGTCTGTCCATTCACAAAAACATACAGACCAGGAATAAAAAAAACACACTCTATACTTTGTTCTCGAATCAATACATAATTACACGCAATATGCGAAGTATATTCTTATCTGTCAATATGCAACACATTTTCGAGAAATGTAAAAAGGAAATAAATATATTCAAAATCTTACATTATAAACAAAATATTCCTGGAATATTCTTGTATAGGTGTTCAAAACAAGGGGAAGATAGAAATGAATTGGCCTGATTTTTGAAATATTCATTTTGTTTCATTTTTAGCCCAAAACTCTTCAAGATCCAGGTATCATTAACTGGCCGGTAAGTAAAATTATTCCCAGAACAAGTCATAGAAAAAGAATAATCTAAAAATTTACATGTTTTAAAATACTTCTACTTAATAGTTTGTAAGAGTCTTTTATATCATTCAATTTTTAACACTCGTGTAAATTTCATGTGCTCAAATACTAGAAATCGAATTGAAAACAAACATAATGAATTTTCAGGATATGGCTCCTCGATATATGGTCAGCAGAAAAATGGCGGACTCGGAGTACAAGTCGTCTTATATACCAGATGTAAGTATTTATACACCGATAGCAAAGTTTCAATTCAATTCTGCTTTTTCCAATTAAAATCACACATTACATGTATAGATATGTGAGGTTGAATTTTAACTTCAAAGTCGGCGCCAAATGAAAGACAACTCTTTAAAATATATACATGTAATGCATTAATGAATAAGAAACTGAAAGTGAAACTTGTATAAAATCCTAATTTTTTTTTTTATAAATACTTGTAGATACGAGATAATCCGTTGGCTCCATTGTACCCTCGGGTCAACACTTCTAAACTTAAACTTCCCCTGGACCCTGAGAAATTCTGGAGACAAAGGGGCACGAACATAAAGCTCGGCAGCGATGTCCCACAGTAAGACGAATTAGTATTATCCTGATCATACATAAACTCACAGTGATTAAGCTACTCATCTGATCATACATAAACTCAGAGTGATTAAGCTACTCGCAAGGTCATACATAAACTCACGGTGATTAAGCTACTCACCTGATCATACATAAACTCACAGTGATTAAACTACTCACTTGATCATACATAAACTCACAGTGATTAAGCTACTCGCATGATCATACATAAACTCACGGTGATTGACAATTAACACTGTCTGTTATATTGAAAACTACCGTGGACTTTTCGTTCTTTGCCCTGCATGGGTTGTGTTATTAAATATGTAGCAATTTTATGTTATATGTAGACTGTTCAGTGAGCACCAGAGGGTCTACGGAGTGGGTCGTGAAGGGGCCCCAGACGGATTTATCAGAGAAAAGGGGAACATGGGGAAAGAAGTCAGCAAAAAGATGAAGGATATGGAAAAATATTCCAATGTGTTTCGGACCGGTGATTACAACGGAATTGGTAAGGCTTTTTTATATCCATGTATCGCTTATAAATTAACAATAACTGCTATATTGGCGAGCGCTCAGCCACTAACTGTTATTGTCCCATCTTCCTATGGTTTTCTGAAGAAATGAAGAAAATATTTAGTATTTTAATATAAATGTTTGTTCTGTCAACCTTGCCTCTAATCAATAAATAAAACAAAAAGGAAACACACACCGAATCACATTGTGGAAAAACAGAATCCTGAAACGTAAGATGTTTGTCCCCTAACCTATTGAAAATGTCAAAAATACTTTAAAGTATCTCTACATGTATCAGCCAGCCCACAAAGAGGAAGCTTGGTAATGCTAAGTTAACGGCGTCTGATTTGATCTCTTTATTTTCATTTCATTTCTTTGGATTTTTTTCAGTTGGGAATTTTCAGACGACAGTGAATGATGAGTTTGGACCGCGAACCTTGCCCCCAGCTGAGCACGCGGCTCGGGCCCTGAAAGCCTCGCAGTAAGTTCACTTCCGCGTGTAACGTCAAAAACAATCGATTTATTTTCTAAGTTAAGCAAGTTCTCTTTATAAATAGATATAAAGAAAAAATCCACGCTGGAGATGATACAGATCGGAACCGGGGGGGGGGGGGGGGGGGGGGGCTAGCCATTACCCACTGACATAATATAAGCATTACCAATTGTGGCATAGCCCTCAAATGTTTTTTGTTAGTTTAGCGTCCCCCCTTTCAATTTGCTTCAGACGACTTTGGTACTAATTGTAAAATGGAGGAAAGTAAACCTGAAGCTTATCTCTTTAATAGGATTAAGTCCGAGAAAGGAAAGAAAGAAGATTCAGAAGACAGCGGCGTAGAGAGTTCTACGTCATCGTCCTCGCTGCCTGATGATCATACTCGTGTCAATCACCTAGCGGCACATGCCCGGCAGACGACAGTTCCAAAAGTGTTCAAAGGTTCTTAAGTTTTTTTTTTTTTTATATAAATGCATTTATAAAGTAACAAAAGCTGAGTAGATATATATCTAGATGAAGGGTCTTACACCACTTTTAACAAATAAAAGTGCAGCACAAATGTATACAGCTTTAAACTGAGTACATGTATACGGCCCCAGCCGGTATAATGGAGGCCGAAATAAATAATGCATCGGGGTTTTCTTTAACGAAAGTAATTATCTTTTCACATTCTGACAGGCCATTTTGTTTCTTCTTACAGACGCTTCAGACGAACGCACCTATCAGACGTCAGCGCATTTTCAGGTATAAAAGCATTTCCTTGGTTATATTTCAAGAAGCATGCACTGGAGAATTGTACATATGCACGTTTTAAGTTAAAAATTACTTTTATTTGCAGTTTGGATCTGACCCGAACACGATTCACACGGTATACGGAAAGGATTTTGCTCCCGGATCGATGGCATCAAGAGGGCCGCCGCAGAAATGTCTTGTGCCAGACGCTGGACGAGTAAGTTCAAAATACAAGCGCACATTTATAGTATCACTCTGAGTTAACTCAGTAATAAAAAAAATATTTTTCAACTTTACTTTCCACTGCAGTTGCTTCAGAACGACCCCGCATATGCACCAATGATGTCGACATCAAACCAGACGGACTTCAGTTACACTCCTGCAGTTCCCACCCTGGTATGTTGCTAATGGGTGTTTGTAATCTCAAAACGGTTTACGACCGAGTACAATTTCTCTGTGATAGTGTTAAGGTGCTTTAGTCTCCGCTTACAATCATAACAAGACGTCAATATTTGAGGAAACTTTGAATTTTAGAATGCTGATGGTCTGACTCAAATGGAAGTAAACATTCAGCGGCGTCAAACTGATAACGTCATCTTCAGCTTCGATCGATCACGTCATACATCTGATCGGCAAATATCATGTAAGAAACAAAATATCTGGTTTTCTTGTACATATCTCATAATGTAGAGAAACAAGTCAAACTAAATGCATGACTTGCTCTCTGGTTTCAGTGGCTCACACCGATTACCAAGGTCCACCAGCTGGGTATCGACCAATGCAGCCCATGTCCAGACCGGAAGTAGAGTTTGATTATCTAACTCCCAACGATGCCCTTCCCTATCCTCCCTTTGAAAACCGCACGTCGGAAGCCAAGGTAAAATAATTAATATTTAACATAATTACTAAGGCTGGTAATGATGTGCATCAAACAATGCTCATGAATTTTTTCCCTTTAAGAACAACTATATCGGAACCTTCATGTCTGGTGGACACGCTCTAGATCGACGTCATGCTAAGAATTCGCTCTGCAAGTCCCGTCTAGAAGACGGAAGGAGCACACACTTCACAGTAGGCTATAACCCCATGGACTTCTCCTCAGAAACGCAAATGAAATTCAAAGGGGACAAAAAGAATGATGCGCTCCTGGCACCAGCAGGGAAAACTGAAAAGAACGCGTCAGTAAAGTTTAAGCACGTTTCAATGAGTGAGAATACCCAGGATCTAAAAGCGGCGGATCCATATGTTGTCAGTAAGCAGGAGAGTTTAATGGCTCGTGCAGCTCACCGGGATCCGCTCACCGAACATGCGTTTACGACCTCTGTGATGAAGGCAGATTACCCATCATTAGATAGAAGAGGGTGGGTAGACAAATAGTAATCAAGTATAGGCAACCATCTTTATTATAGTGTAACTAGTACTATTGATTCATATTATTTTATTCAAATTCTTAACAATTATGCCATTCGGACAATGTTTTAAGTTATACTGGGTAATAAGACACGATTTTTAATAGCTTTTGTCCAGTTTAATCGTAACAGTAATCAGCATACAGAAGAGCACGATCTTGATGCTTGTATTGAAGTAACATTGTCGTGCAATACACTAATGCATATGGTAAACGTGGTATGATTTCAAAAAGTTTTCCCTTTTTTATACAGACTTACAGAGGCCCAGTTAAGGATGGTCCAGGACACAAACCAAAAGATGGGGAAAGAGATCGCCAGCTCGCACCTGTTCCATACGGACAACTCCGGAAGTAAGTACATAATACTCTCGAACATTTTGAAAACATTACTCCAAAATAATTATATTTGTATATCCAAATTAAGAAGTCGAAAATTCACGAAAAAAATAAATATTTATGAAGTATTTTGCAAAAGAATTTGCTTATAATGCATATGTTTGTAATTACTGAACTTTACTTTTAGGAAACAATTTTATAACCACTGCTATGGATGATTATATAAAACCGGAGTCCATGACGGGAGGTAAATCAAAGCACACGTCCATATGTATACAGGCATTATGAAAAAGATGTTTCATAATATTACTAATTCAATAATGATTTTCTCTTCCTTTTCAGGTCGAAAGCTCCTTGCTGCTCGTTAAGGACATTTTCTTGTTAAAAAATTATGGATTTTTTTTTTATATCTAAGAATTTTGGAAACTTTGTTATCGTCATTTTTATTGTGGGAGGTTAACTGTTGATAGTAGAAACTTTATTATGTTTGCATAATACGTATGTTGATAATTTAATTAAAGTATCAAATAAATCCATGGCTTTAATTATTTTCACACTATAGGTTAAATAATATAAATAATATAATGAATATAAAATACTAGTACCATTCCATATGAATCCGGATATGCATGACTGTGTAGTTTACTATCGCACAACCGAAGTGTGGGTGAATAGTACGATAATGCGATGACGATCGGTGATGTGATGGCGTGGCAATGCGATGACGCAATGGTATGATAGCGATGACGATGGAGGGATGGTACGATGACGCATTACTTACTATCGCTTCATCGTTTTATCGCACCTCGTCATCGTGTTATCGCATAATCGTCATCATCGACCCAATAATCGGTGCTCAATAGTGGACTACATATCCCTAATTGGATTCCACAATTGACTAATCTAACACTATCCTGTTTAAAATATAGTCGGTCATATATTATACTGAAAGGAGGAAGAAACGCATACCGACAACGATGTTAGGGATTTTATTCAAAATTTGAATGAAGATCAATAGAAAAAATATATCGTTAAAGGAAAAAGAAACGCATATTTCTAATTGATCTACTACAACTGGCTCTCATCAGGGTTGACATAGTTTTGAATTTATCTGGGCTTTAAATAATGTCCGGAAATGGAATTGCAGAAGAAAATCATTCAACCATGACTCGACGTGAGCACTAGTAGTTTGCCTTTAAGCTCTTATTTGAAAGACACGTAGCTAGATTTTTGGATAAGTTGAACCATTTTTGCCATCTCCAGTGATTTTTTTGAAAATGTCGGGTGAAAATTGATCAGATTTTGACTCTAAAAGATGCCACAACTTACTGAAATTCTATAAGATCTAGTTATTGCCTTGTTAATACAAAGATACCATCAGAATAAAATTGCAGAGCAATTTAATGTGTCCCAATCCACTGTATCACGACTAGAAGGAAGCCTAATGTTAACAGGAAGCGTTAAAGACCGTCCAAGAAACGGACGTCTTCAGGGGCAACGGGACTTCCGGTCAGAGAGACTGTTATAAATCTACCGACGGAACAGATTTCCAACTGCAGGTGAAACTGTAAGTAACATCTCTGAACACCACAATGCCAGAATTTGAGGGAAAAAAATACGGAAAAGTCTCGTAGAGGCAGGCCTCAAATCATGCTGGCCATCCTTTTATACAACCACATGTTTCCATATGAAAAGTTCCTACCGAGATTTCCTTACAACGTACGGGCGACTCAGAATGGTCTTTATTTAGTCCCAAACCAGAAGTCTCTGAGGAGACTGTAGCTCTACTGGTTTGTACTTAAAACAAAGGAAAAGTAGCAGCTTGAAACTATGTGACAGCAATAAATAGAGTATTGATCCTTGGTTTAGTTATTTTTTGTAACGGGATTTATTGCAATCAGCCTAAATTTGTAGGGGGGGGGGGTAGCCTTTTGCAAGAATTTTTTCAGAAATTTCTATTTTTTAATAACAATGACAACACTGTTCATCAAAGTAAAAAAAACATAAAGAGAATTATGTATCTCAGTATAGTTTACTTGTGTGCCAAGTTATATTGCAATCAGACTAAAACTGTAGAAGTAGCCTTTTGTACGAATTTTACAGAAATTTCTATTTTTTGTAACCATGGCTACATCGTATAGTGAAATCAAAAAAATGACAAACAGGATTATGTATCTCAGTGAAGTCTACTTGTCTGCAAAGTTATACTGAAATCATGCAAAAACTATAGGAGGAGTAACATTTTAAAACTATTTCACAGAAATTTCTATTTTAGTAACCATGGCAACATCCTTCATCGAAATCAAAAAAAAATTGATAAACAGAATCATGTACTTTAGTGTAGTTTACTTGTGTGCAAAGTTATATTGAAATCAGACCAAAACTGTATGAGGAGTAGCAGTTTGAAAAAATAGTTTACAGACAGACGGACGACGGACACCTTACTATTTCATAAGCTCTTCTTGTCACTGACCAGTAGAGCTAAAAAGCAATAATGGGACGACGTGGATCGACAAATTTGATTTCGAAATCCGATTTCAAACACCACCAATGAGCTCCAGCAAGCTCTTATCGCGGAGTGAAATCTCATCCCTATTTGAAGAATCAACCATCTGATCAATTCTATGCTCAAATGATACCAGCTGCTGTAAATACGGGATTACGACATATTCGATACCGACTTTCAAAATTTTGAATTTTAAAAAGTCAGACCCCTGCTCCCTGCAGTCAATAACTACGGTGCTAATGTCGTTTGACTGGATATTATGCCTTTATTTAAGACAAATATAAATAAAATTGTATTTCGCTTTCATTGTATCGCATAGTAATAAAAGCGAACCTTATATATTTAGGTACGCATTTCTTTTTCCTTTCAGCATGTTTTTTTTTTATTTTTATGCCCCGTATTCGTAGACCTAGGGTATATAATTTTTGGTCTGTTTGTCCGCAAAAACTTAAACCGTGTCCATCACTATACTATTGATTGATATGAGCTAGGGCTTCCATATCTCACTTGTGTAATACTAGTGAAAAGACATTTTTTGGGTACCAACATGCTTGACATTGTCCTGAAGAGTTTGGCCAACTTCTGCAAAATTTTACCAAACTTTTACCTTGCCTATAATTTTGAAACAGATGGTGCAAGAGCGTTAATGTTTCAAATATGCTTTCCTTGTGACAAAGACTTTCCTTGGATTCCAACATTTGTGACTTTTGGCCTTGGAGTTGACCTTCTTTCGAAAACCTTTAACCTTAGCCATAACTTTTGAATGGTTTGTGCTATGGTTTTCATATTTGATATAAGTATTCCTTGAGACAAGATCTTCTATTAGATACCCACATCTGTGACCTCTTGACTTTCACCTTCTAAGAATTTTTAGGCATCAGTGTTCCGCAAGCAAGTCTTCTTTCCAAAAGAAATGAGAAGGTAAAGAAAACACTTTGAGGAAAATGAAAACTAGGAACGATATGGACCATATTGCCGTAAACAAGAAAACACTCAGGATGATACGAAATGACCAGACTGTTGGGCATTCATCATTTATCTGCTTTTTAAAGCAGTAAGATAAATATGCCGTCACTAACCCAGTTTTCAAAACTTCTCCATGTGCACATATTGTGTTTGTGTATGAGGATATAATAGTAATTTTATGAGGTAGAAACTTTATTTTTGTTTCAGTTTCTTAAAAATCTATAAATGAAACAATCAATCACTTTGTATATAACTAGAACTAGACTGATGGCGCTAAACAAATTTCCCGGCAAGATAGGACAACAAAACAAAATAATGATTTTATAAAACGGTAAACAATAACAAATAATATAACATGTGTAATCTTGCGTTATAAAATAAACATATTTTAAGTTAGCATTACAATGCAGAAACTGTTTAATGAATTAGTAAAGCTAATCAATGCGCGATATTAATGACAGGATAAAAATAAATAAGTATCTAAACATATCGTTTTTCTGACATACTTTCTACTTTAAAGTAGTCATAATGCAGATTTTTATTGATAAATAGAAAATATGTCAGAAAGACAATGTACAGACTCAGTATCCACTTACGTATTCAACAAACAAAAAAACAACTAAAAGTACCTGTTTTAAACCTACAATCCGTATAAAAATACTAAAAGGTCAATCAAGTATTCTAGGGTCTGTATACTTCAGTAATAAAAATATTACGTCAGATCTCCAAAAGAGTAACAAAAACCTCCAGTACATAAAAATAAATCCAAAGGCATCAATCCCACTCTGTAATGTTACCAATCAGCTATTTCAACCTCATGGGTATTTTGGAAATGTAGAGAATTTTAATATCCATACTAAATTAATAATTAATTATAGCATTGGCTAAATTCTATTCAACAGTGTCATTCAAGTAACATACTGCAGTTTGAATAAAGAAAAAAAACTAACTAAAATTTAGGCTAATGTAAAAGGAATGTACAACTCTTTGTAACCAGAGTAATTATAATGGTAATATCACATCTATATCGCGAACATCAAGTCAAACTTTCTCTGAAATGAATTTCGATCGGAATCGGTTTGAAAGACTGGCTACAACCTTCTACCTCGTTATCCGCTCTCGATTCCTTAAACACAGAATCATCAGTCCGTGACGTTCTTTTGTCATCTATTATCTCAGGAGAAGAATTTGCTATTTCACAGCTTTCTGAGAATTTAACCTGACTCTCCTTTCTTTCTGAATTATTGGACTCAGGACTGTCACTTCGTGTGTGCGCTTTCATATAATGCCCCCGGGAGCGGGACCGTCGGTGTTGGAACAATGAAGGTTTCGGAGTGTTCGAAATGATTTCTATGTCTTGCGACGGCTCGCTGAAGCTGCTCGACGGTGGGTAACAACCAGACGAGGACTCGGTAGTCAAATACACTGTCTTGTCTACATGTTTTCTGTCGGTTCTGTGGCAGAATTTTGCCGAGGGCCAGTGGAATTGTCCAAACCCTCCATGAGGTCCTAATACACATAAGAGAGACTGGAAGAAAAACACTGCGTAGGTCCAGCTGATAGAAATAATGATCATCAAAAAGGTGCCAAATTTTTGGTATGCCAAAACGGTTGACGGCATCATCAGCGCCCCCGCTAGGAATGTAGTTGTAGCTGCCATTGTAACGACTCCACCGAGTTTACTAGTAGTGGACGCTACACGGAGTTCGCTACTGAGATCAGGCGAGTTTCGAAAAGATACTCCAACGTGTAATGTCAAGTCTATGGAAAGTCCCACTGCTACTGTGATTACAACAGACTCCAGAATGTTCAGCTCCCAGCCCAACAATGTCAGCGCTGCAATGGTGACAAACATTACAAAAGCGATGCTCACAATGGCAAAAACACTAATCAGAACATTTAGTGTTGTCAGAAAAGTCACAACAGTAACGATGAAGAGAGAGATTCCCAAAGCCACAGGAGTCTCTTCACTAAGACTTTTCTGGAGACTGAAAAAGTCAAGTTCACTTACAAACCAGCCATGTTTGACCTCGGGTGGGGCTGATTTTAATTTCTCTTGAAAGAACTGTTCCACTTTGTTGTAAAAATTAGACATATCGTGAAAGGATGTAGTAAAATGAAAGTTGCTGTAGAACTCAATGATCAAGGCACTGAATCTGCCATTTGTAAATCTTGGACCAGAAGTAAAAGAGTTATAGATAACACTTGGAGAGTTTATCAAAGACGGAATGTAAACTGGAACACACTGCATTATGTCATGGGGCTTTATTAGACTTGTAGTGTAATTACAACAGGGTCTCTGATTGTGAAAGTCTAGGGAACATGGCTGCTGCATAAAAAGACTAAAGAATTCGAAGAAACAATTTGTCTGCTCAAAACCACCGACGTTTTGATAGAAATCTGTTTGACGCAAATCCTGACAAAAATTGAGCATCCATAATTGAGCCTCCTGGGTCGTAGGATCAAAATGCTCATCAAAGACGATGTCTCCTTTATCAGTGGGGTCCAGACAAGACCCGGTATCAGTCGCTTTGACCCCCCACACGAACCGTAACGGAAGAATCTCTTGCTTTCGTTGTTGTCTTTCAAACCAGAACTGATCATTCAAAACGAAGTCATATTTCTCCATTAAGTGATTTGAAGAAAATACTTGGAATTTCTCTGAAGTGGGAAGTTTTAGTTTAGGGTAAAAAAATATAACAACTATACCGAGAATTCCTAACAAACTAAAAATCACTAACCATATAAATCTAGCGCGAATTACAAGAAACGGAAGGAGTTTTTCAAACAGGATCCTGCTGCACTCTGAGAATTTATGATATGCTTGCTGTGGTAGTTTACAAATATAAAAGCACACATTTTTTCTTGAAGATAGTTCGGGATTATAAAGTTTTTCACAGTTGCACCATTTTTCATAAATAACAATGGACGCCGGCATCCACGTAACAACAAGAATAAAGTTACACAAAACAGCAGTTCCCGCATAGATACTGAAACATTTAATGGAAGTAATGGAACTGAATGCATTACAATACAGGGCAGCGGCTGTGGTCAGGCTCGTCACAAACATCGATACACTTCCGTTACGTAAAGTGTCCGATACAATTTTTTCAAGGTTACCATTATTACGCACAGACTTGGCCAGTCTCCACACCCTGCAATAAATAAAGACGTCGTCTGCTCCAATGGCAAGAATTATAATAACAGCAACGAGATTCATATACGGAAAGAAACCAATACGAAAGACCAGCATGTATAAAATATAGGCTATCTCCAGAGACCAAAACATCATAAAGAAAGTCATAACTGTAATGAAAATAGATAAACTATACAACCATATCACCAAAAAAATAATAATGCCAGATACCAGCAGCCACATGCTATCTGCAATCAAATGCTGACTAAATAATGTACCCTTAATTCCAAAATTAGCACCAGTGACACGAACTTCATTGCCAAAGTCTTTTGGCCATGATTCGATGTGTTGAAATAGCTTTACTGAGTCAACTCCGCCCACCAGGGGCAAGTACATTATAGCATATGTTAAAAACAATTTTTGGTTTTCTTTGTCTGGATGGATAAAGTTCACATCTGCTATATGGTGAAGAATATTGTATACTGACTGGAATTCTACACACTCCTTGGGAATACCTGAGCAATAATAGCGGGATCCTTGGTCTGTGTCACAAGTGGGATTCAGAGTCTTGTTGTAGTAGTGTCCAGCACAAAATCTCAACAATTCTTCAACTTTTCTAACATCCTGGTCAGTGATGGAAGAACAGTTACTCTTGCCTGACAACATAGCAACATAGTTACCGAGAGACCAGCTTAGGCAACATTGTTTATTACTCTGTGTCTGACAATTTGCTGTGAAAGTGGAATGTGTTCGAATATGGTGGTCTTCAATATGGCACATCTCTTTCAGCTTGGAAGCAGTAAACAAGTTACTGCCATCAGCACTACTGAAGACAATCCGTGCAAAGAATGAAAAGTAGCTGGCTGAAAAAAAAAAAATTGATGAAACAAAAATATTGTAATTATTTTTTCTTTCTCAAAGAAAAGCAAATCAGGCTAATAAGTTGATATACCTTCAATATTGCAGAAATAAGACTGTTTTTGGTGATGAGTACTTCTGTCCTCAATATCATGCCTATCTGCTTGCTCTGTTAGCCTCCTTTCTGACCTTGTGATTCTCTGTCTAGTCTGGTTTTTTGTGATATAATGTATGGTATCAGGTTCACTCCTATGATGGCCCCACTTAGGTCCTGGTTTGATTGAAATCTTTCCATTTCGATTTTCCACCAGGTTGTTATATGCAATAATTCTGTTTGCAATATCAGTTCCTCTTGGTTCAAATCCCTGTTATAATGGTAAATTCCACAAATGAAAGATTGAAAAAAAATTCTTTACTACTTTAAGCTCTATGGAATTGACATGTAGAACAATTTTATAACAACTCCCCTCCCTAAACCTGACTTATCCTCACTCTGACATTAAGATCATAATTTGAATGAACCTGACTTTATTCTCTACATGTACGTAAAAGCATATTAATTTGATGCTTTATGGCTATGTAATTCAAAAGAAGACTTTTTAGCTCACCTGAGCCAAAGGCTCAAGTGAGCTTTTTTGATCAAAATTTGTCTGTTGTCTGTCATCATTAAATTTTCATAATTTCATCATTTTCTCGTGAACATTGGGTCAATTACAACCAAACTTAGTTCACAGCATCCTTCAGGGCAGGATATTCAAATTTTCAATTTTTTTTTTTCAAATGAATGGTCACACCCTTTTTCAAGGGGAGATAATTAAGAATTAGTGAAAATTTAATGGTATCTTCAAAAAATCTTCACCTCCAGAATCATTAGGCCACAAAAGATAAAACTTAAAAAGCTTAAAAGCTTCACTACATAGTGTAGATTAAGTTTGTACAAATCATGTACCTTCGGGTTACAGTGGGGCCACAACAGGGGATCAAAATTACACATAAGAATATATAAGGAAAAAATCTTTCAAAATCTTCTCAAGAACAGCAATGCCCTGATTAGTAATATGAATGCAGAAGCATCCATAGGTAGTGTACATTCAAATTTGTTCAAATCATGACCCCCCAGGGTAGGTTGAGGCCACATTAAGCAATCAAAGTTTTACATGGGAATATACAGGAAAACATCTTCAGAAATTATAAATACATGTGAATATGGATGCATCCTCGTGTAATGAGGATCAAGTTTGTTCACATCATGGTCCCTGGGGGAGAGTGGAGCCATAACAGGGGATCAAAGTTTTACATGGGAATTTATAGGAAAAAATCTTTACAAATCTTCTCTTTAGAATATGAGCATACAGAGCCATGATTAGTCATATTTATTGAGGCATGCTCAGGTAGTGTAGATTTAAGTTTATTCAAATCATGGTCCCTGGGGAGAGGGCAAGGTCACAATAAGAGATCAAAGTTATTTTTAGTCCCATCCTAAAGTAATTAGATTCAAGTTTGTTCAGATTACGGCCCTCTGGAGTAGGTTGAGGCTTCAATACTAGGGGATCACAGTTTTAAATGAGAGTATTTGTGGCAAGATCACACTATATTATATTATAAAAGCAAAAATACCCAAGTTAAATGTGGATAATTTTATTTTTAAATTATGAGTCAATATGGGGTTAGGGTTGGATGAAATCAACAATCCAAATTTTAATCAATGCATTATACAGGAAAAAATCTTCAATGAAACAGCAGAGCTATATTGATCATATTCAGATACTGAGTCATCCAAATGTTGTTTGGATTCAACTTCCATTAAATCAAAGCTCTCTTTGGGTTAAATTTTGGTCCACAATACAGAGTCAAAATTAAGGAGGGATTTTTTTTTTAAATCTGCTGATTTCAAGAACAGCCGGGCCAAAGTGGCTTGGGTGAGCATTGTGGCCCATGGGCCTCTTTTTTTTATCTTCTATATTATTCCTATATCCATTGTTGGAGCCATTCTGGGCCCCTTTGGTCCTCAACTGCAACTGAATTTAGGAACATTTTGAGTCTGAACTACAGTTTCTAATAAAAAATTCTATTTAACGTGTTTAAAGCAAGTTGAGAATGGTTTATGGGTCTTGAGGGGAGAGCTCGTGTAGGTTTTTAACATATTATTCATACATGTTGATGCTGAAAAACAAACATGGATGATAATGGTTACTTGCAGTGAGCAAATGTTGGCACTTACTGCTCTAGGATCCTGGAAGTTTGGTAGTTCCACCACTGTCACACACAGCACCAGGCAAACAACAGCCAAACAAAGGATGCTCACAATGATCACATAGGGGTAGTGGGCAATTAACCGAGCATATCTGTAATATAATTACAGTTATTAGGGGTAATGGGCAATTAACCGAGCATATCTGTAATATAATTACAGTTATTAGGGGTAGTGTGCAGTAAGCTAGGCATACCTGTAAAATAATAACAATTACATGAGGATATATTAAGGGATGCACATTAAGCAGAGCATATCTGTGAAGTAATTTCAATGATTACATAGAGGTACATGTACACGTATATACTTGTATAAACTCGTACATAATGACAAAAAAATTGTCCCAAAGAAGCATCTGCAAATGTATATTAATATCATAATAATTATTTTTTCCTAATTTTTTTTAACCAAATGAATATAACTCAGTATGGACATTAAGTATACAAAATAATCTTTAAAACTTGCTATCCATCAAGTTCTGTTTCTCAGAACTGACAGAGTAATTGTTTAATTTAAGAAATACATCCATAGGACATTAATGTTCTGCCAAATTGTACTCTTGTTTTCTTCAGTCTGAGCTATGGTAAAATATGGTTCAATTAAGAAAAAATGATTTTCCATATACATAGTGTACAACCCTGATAGCTTTAGTAGAGTTGTCTCTTATAGCATGGTATGTAATAAGTGTTGATTTGTCATATCTATATAATAGCTAAATGATGTCTCAATAATTCATGGTTCATTCTCTCTAAATGTACCGGTAGTATATGTTTTGTTTGTTTGTTTATTGTTTAACGTCCCTCTTGATAATTTTTCACTCATATGGAAATGCCACCATTTCCCAGTAAAGGGCTGCAAACTTTGACCTATACTCGGCACTCAGGGCCATTGAATATGAGGGATCTTTTTCGTGCCAGCACCTACTGCGACACAGAACCTTGGTTTCTTTGGTCTTATCCAAAGGACCGGTCTTCACGTTCCACAGTGGATTCCAACCCGCGATGTAAGGACTAACTCCTTACACCGCAACTCAAGAGGAAACACTCTAACCAATGCGCTATGCGGGAAAAAAATAAAGTATTTGAAATATGAATATAACGAACAGTAATCAAGCTCAAAAGTCCATTGGAACAAAATATATTGGAAGAGCAAACATAGGCCTCTAAAAACATCAGAAGTGGGATCAGGTGCCATGGAGGAGTAAACATTCCCTGTTGACCAGTCACAGCCACTGTGTGCTCCTATTCATGATCAGGAAAACCAAAATATCTATAGACAATTCAGTGAAAATGATGGCCTAACAATTTGTATGAAAAACGTCAGTTTACATTCAATTTGAAGACAAATTGTATTTGCTGACAAGGTCACTGTATCAACCATAGAACTTGTGAAATGTTGATTTTAAACGAGACAGTTGTTATCCTTGTACTATCAGCTTTTTTCTCAATAGCTTACCTCATTTTAGAAATTGTTTATACATAAGAGTATGTTCTTGCATATCGAATCAAATGGGAGACTTTAACTCTATATGCAGGTGATAATGGTATATTGCTAAAATAAGGGAAGTTGACGATTGAAAAGTTGAAGACACCATGATTGTTAGGGATACATGGAATCAACGTTGGAATGATAATCAATATTGTTAATTGACAAAACATTACCGGTATATAAATGTTGAATTGAAGGCCACAGCAAGAGACTTCTTCTTTTCATGTAGAAGTTTTTGAATTCTGCTTTGTATGAATACAAAAATAAGTCTGCTAATAACTGGGCACAATTAGCATCCATGAGAATTCCAACAGCTTACATAGATATTGTCAATCAGAAACTCAAGCATCTTTTTAATATCAACTTTGGAGTACTTGTGTGTACAATCAGAATGTTTTTTAACAAAATAATTTTGTAAATGACCAATAACAAGGTACTGAGTAAATTAATGAGTTCCTTACTGAAAAAGCAGCTGTCTATGATGTCAAAATGCCTCGACTTTATTTTTATCATGAGGAAAGGTTGAATTAAGTGTTGAAAAGTCATACATTTTGATGTTACATTTGTATTGATTTGGTAAAATTTCGTGATACATGTATCAATTTTTCTAAAAGTTCCTGGAGTTTTTAAGCATCCATATCTGATTAACATCACTTCTCATATTGTTGTGTACAGTACTCCTGAAGTTCCTCCTTCACCATGTTCACTGATGATAATATTTTAGTGAGGAGTAAAGAAAGAGTCTTGGTAAAACATTTACTGGAACCTGCTTTGTATCTTTCTTTATAAGAATTTTTATGTAGTTTAGGAATCTATATTTAACCTCTTAAGTAGGTATGGTTGAAATACTTGTAGGTCAAAGTCTTAGGGATGGGCAAAGTCAGAAAATAAGATACAGATTAGAAATTGCTTTCACCAATATATATCTTTGTACACTAAAAATATTTTTAAAAGTATCTTTGAGACTAAGCTAAATCAAAAGTAAGATGGACAGATAGAAGAATGTGCAAGTGATTTAAGGCTAGGTATAGGCGTTTCTATGCAAATGAGCTAATAAAAATGCAAATAAGGTATATTTATTATACAGGGAAAGCTAAAATTCATTTTCTTATACATACTTAGTTCCCAAGGCATGTTATAGCTAATGCACATTATGACGTCATATTATGACGTCATTGTTCTTTAGAACTCAACTTAATAAAACACATCAACAAACGGCTTTGGCGCAAGGGCATACCCTATTTAATTTTAAGTAAATAATGTATAATACAGCGAAGAATATTCTAAAGATTAATAAAAGTGCTGCACAAATCCTATGCACTTTCTTGTTAGATAAAAATTTGAGGAAACTTACGCTGGACTGTGAATTTTTATCCCGTTTCAACTCAAAACTTTACAAATAGTAACTAAACTATTGATCTGTCGACATTTGTGCAGCAATATCACAAATCCTTGGAATATTCTGCTTCTAATTAGAGCCTGTTTCTGTAAAAATAAATAGGGTATGCCCTTGCGCCGAAGCTTTTTTGATGATGTTCTTTATAACTTTGTGTAGTAGAGAGCAATGACGTCATAATATGACGTCATAATATGTACTGGCTATCACTTGTCGCAGGTACCAAGTTTGCATTAGAAAATAAGTTTTAACCTTTTCTGTATAATAAGTATAGCCCTTATGCGTTTTAATTAGTTCAGTTTCATAGAAACGTCTATACTTAGCCTTAACTCGCTTGCGTGGAAGACTGGTATGACAAATACTATAGCCCTATACAAGTTCCTATAAAAGCTAGACTCTTGTTTGCAGACCTAAGTGACCAAAATGGTTATTGTGGTTATAGATACTTATATTTAATCTTAAGAAGTATTGTTTTAAAATTAAGATCATAGCTCATAGATAGATCACAGATTATGTTTTTTACACTTCTGAGTTAATCCCTTTATTTTTTCATGATAAGCTTCAAATAGGAATGAGTCAGATGTTCATGTTCAGATCATCTCTCTATTTATAGTTCACCTTCTGCACATTACCCTATTGTTTATATGTAAATTACTGACACCAAACCTTTAAACATTTTCAGTTCACAAGCCCCTCAAAAACTTTATATAACTCACACAACAATATAACAATTTAAGTCCTTCCAAAAGCTCAAACTAGATCATAATCATAATCCCTTCAAAAACCTCATTCAACTCATACTGCCACGGTAACCTCAAATTAATAGCCCTTAAAACCTTATACAACCCTGACAATTTAAAACTTAATATTAACTAACTAGCCACTGAAACCCAAGATCAATACTGAACTGTCAAGAGTTGAGATCTTTTCTTGCGAAGATCAATGTGGCTTAGTTGTCCTCTACCTTTCTAAATCACATCAAATGATGAAACTCCTTTCCTTTCTTTCAATATCTAAATTCAGCTTGAGTGTTTCTATTCTGGGGAAAAGATGAGGTCATTTAAGTTTGATCTTGTGATAAACACTACACTACATAAATAGATACATGTATCATGTGTGAAAGCTACAAAGCTGCAATATATTTCATAAACATGATTATGAATACAGTCATCAAAATACAGTTTTTAAAATTATATGTTTTTTGGAAATTCCAAAGCAAGGTATTTTTTACCGTAATAGTAAAGAATTTGCAGTACATGAAATTTGCATGCATTAACTCCTTAATTTTACTAATTTCTGTATTTATTTTTGTGTCCATATTGATTGTTAATGATTGTAATGTAAAAGTTGAAGATAACAAACAGTGATGAATCTCACACATCCAGTAAACAAAACAAATAATGGAAACACCAGAGGTGGGATCAGGTGCCTAGGAGGAGTAAGCATCCCCTGTTGACTTGTCACATCCATCGTGAGCCCTATGCATTGATCAGTTAGAAGAAGTACTCTGTATATCAAATTTAGTATAAAAGCAATGACCTAACAATTAATAATATGGAATGTGTCAGACAAAAAACCACCCAATGACGGTTGCATTTACAAACAAGGACATTATCGTGACTGTTAAATTTGCTAAATGGGGTATTTGATTAATCTTTAAAATAATGACTTATATGTCAGTAGCTTGCCTCAATTAAATGAGAAATTAATTGCAAAATCATTTTTTCCTATGTAACTCTCATTCATAAACTCCAAACTAACATATTAATCATATTATGAGATAAATTAGATTGAATATCATTTATCTTACCAAGGATAAACAGACCTGTACATGTAAACTAAATTTTAGTTCTCTTTTTGTGACCAACCAAAAAAAGAACGAAAAAGATAAGATTGTCCCTACTATGAAAAAAATAATCTTGTTGCTTTTGTACAAAACATTTTTTTTACATTTTTTCTTCATCTTAACTCTGGCAGCAAAATAAAATTATTTACCAAGAGTATGTCTTCAAACATATTTAAAGTAAGCAGTTACTTCAATAACCTACCACCTTAATGATTTACTTGTATATAAAACAAGTGTTCAATTGCTTTGAATCAAGGGAAACCAAAAAGGTATTATGCTCTTCTCTTAATTAAATTAAATGAAGTAACAAATTCTTTTATAATTAATCAATTAATTTTGAAGTAAATAAAGATTTAGAGTATTCCAATGACAAAAAGAATTTGTTTATGTGAATCACATTCCATAAACTTATATGAATAATACAATGTAACTATATATATTAATTTATTCTTAATAAAAATTAGACAAGTGCTTGTTAACTTGATGATGGAGTCCCTCTGTTGCCAGTAACCACAAGTCGAGGATTACTCATAGGCCAGCTATAAAGATAATAAAGTTCACTTGAACTTTTTTCCAATATAAAAATCTATAGCATTGTCCTACCTTGTCATTCTGAAGTAAAAATCCAGAGTAAACTCAAAGAGACATGTCTACTGCAATAAACCCATGAGAAACAAAGTCCTTGAATGTTAGCATGATATTTAAATGTTTCACGACCCCTGGCCCGGACAGGAAACTGCCAGCACTTTATGGTTTACATTTAACATATCCTTCCAAATTTTTAAGTATTTGTCAACACTTACAAGGAAAAGTTTTCACCTTGGTATGCAATGGGGAAAAAAGCAGTGTAATGCTAGTACATGTGGATTTCATCAGTCTTAATACTATTCATCTCTGTTCTGCAGAAAATCATAAAGTAATCCGAATTAATGGAGGAGAAAACCATCAATGAATCTGCCATTGTTAATCACTTTACAGTAAGCAATTCATAACTCATATACAAATACTGGAGAGTATAAACCACCGACCATAATTGTCAATAGACAAATGCATCATATAAAGTCAGCTCCACATGAAAAAAAGATAGAATTGGGAATAAATTCCAGAGCATAATCACCTACAAACTTCTGATCTGTCTGAAAGGAATAATCTGATCCAAATTTGCTCCATCCCATAAGGAAGGTGGTCACAGGTAATTGCTGATACTTATAGCTAATTCTATCTCCCCAGGAATCAGAAGGAAGCTGACGTGCTAATTCCCTTAAAGCTGCAAACCTTTCCTCATCACAGAAGCAATGAGCCTGAGTTAAAACCAGGATTAATCATTAACTCTACTCAGCTGCGAGGTTATTCCTGGTAACCATTTCAACCAGCTCACAAGGTGTACAAAATATATCAAAGGGATTCTTTGCCAACACTTCAACAATAGCAAAGGAGTGTTCTTTAAATAGGATACAAAATACATGGAAAGTTTTGATAATATACTATATTTCCAATTGTACTTCAAGTAATGACACCAATTGTGTTGTAATAATAATAATAAAAAAAAAACAAGCAAACACGCACACACATGCACATACACAGGGCTATTAATATAAAATATTAGAAACATGTGGAACTTTTACAAAAATTATAATTTTTTCCATCGAATATTTTGGCCAGTACAATTATGATTTCAGTCGGAAAAATGCACATACACAGGGCTATCAAAATTAAATATTAGAAACATGTGGAACTTTTACAAAAAATATAATTTTTTCCATCAAATATTTTGGCCAGTGCAATTATGATTTCAGTCGGATATTGAAAGGCCGACACACACAAACATGCATGCACAAAGCAAATAGAATCTGAAAAACTAATGTTCCAAGGAAAGCATGTGTCACCTGCTTTTAGCTTCATTAAATATGTAAATAAATCTAAGAGTGGTCAGCTATATAACTACTAACATGATTGTTCCTGTATGCCTTCAGAAAAAAAAGGCTCCGAGACTGCGTTAGAATCTGACAATAAAAGAAAATATGGTTCCCTAACCCTCAAATGAATAATTAAAAAATCAAAATTATTAGAAATAATTATTTATCATTTTATTAATATATTTCCAACAATCCTCCAAAAGTAATTTCAGTCTCTCTTTATTGCAATTGTCAGTCTACACAATCCTTTATGGAATACCGATTCAGATGTATTTTCATAGTATTTAAATATAAGTTTGTGTGGTAACTGAATATCATACAGTTTCAAAGTACAGTATCATGAGCTCATAAGCATGTATAAATGCTAATTATCAAAACCATGCCTCTAAAAAATTCAATAGTCACAAGTTAAATTAAACTGCCCAGAGTATTTTTGGCAAAGTAGGTAAAAGGCCAAGGTCAAGTGGATTGTAATGCTCTTTTTTTTCACAATGTTAAATGACAAATCGTGCACATGCTTAACAGCATAGACTTACCTCTTAAATGTCAAAAATATGCTGTATATCACACAATGAACTATTTTGAAAAGTAAGTCAAAGGTCAAGGTCAAGGGTCACAAGTTCAGTAAAAATGGTAATTTACAAAAACCATAGTGCCAAGCAATATCTGTGTAAAATATCAAATAGTTCTCCAGATATAAGGTATGACAGATGGACAGACAGACAGATGCCGGGTAAAGTGATCCCTATTAAAGTGTCGCTCTGCTCTACAGGTGACACAAAAACAGCATCAACAATGTTGCATGAAACACAAGCATCAAATTTAACACTATCCAGTTAAGACAAGGTATAAGATATAAAAATGATTTAGCCATTTTATGTCATGCTAACACTGACAGGTGACCCCCATTGAGTGGCAATGAAAAAAAAATTACACAGGATTATATTTAGAATCAATTTGTGGCAGTAATTGCTGATTGTCTCTGAGGAGTGCAAATTATCAACTGTGTCTACTATAGACTAATAAACCAACTCACAATCCCTACATAATGGCCAGGCAATATTTACAGTCTACAAATAATGGTCTGGCTTAGAATATACTCCATAGAACAATGGTCAGTTTATTTAGCCCACAAAACAATGGTCAGACTTTATAGCCTACAGAATTCAACAGTAAGGCTATAAAGACCCAACAGAATTTGACAATCATGCTAAAGAGCCCAGAGAATTCAATAGATAGGCTTTATAGCCTACAGAATTCAATGGTCATGCTATAAAGCATAATGATTTTAATGGTCAGGGATAGAGCCCACAAAACTTAAAGGACAGGCTCGAAAGCCCATAGAACTCGATGGGCATGCTATAAAGCCCATAGAACTCAATGGTCATGCTACATGCTACATAGCCCATATTACGTTACAATCAGTCTGTATAGCCTACAGAATTGCATGGTCAAGTAACAATGTCATTGTACTGTATCAAAATTTTTTAAAAATTACTGGCAAAGAATTTACTGTATCGTATACTGGAAAATAAGTGCTTTTGCCCACTTTATATTAATAACAAAATAACATGTTTAAAATGCATTTTATTGTTTTCTTTGAATTTTATTTTGTGAATTATGCAATTAATTTTTCCTGAGCATTAATTAAGCTACCTTTGTTTATGTAGTCAGCTCTCATAAACAACGACAAATTCACAATTTCCTAATATCAACAATATCATTACTTGATAAGGGGTCTAACCCTCCCCCCTTTAGACTCTTTGCGAGTCTTACTTATTGTAAAATGTGTACTAATTATAGGTTATTATTGTATACTGATGGGCTGTATTTCCCAAAGTTATATTCTGAATAAACTATATTAATGAATTGATGAATTTAACCATTTTAATTAAAAGATAATACATGTATATATATGATGTTACAATTAAAACTATGTTGCTTCAGAGACAACTGAAAACCAAGCATTAGGATGTGTTCAATATTAAAAAAGTTCAACAATAAAGTTAATTTTACCTCATGTTGCTCTATGTATAGCAGATGTTTGGTAGATAACTTCAGGCTGGCTGAAGAAATCATCCACATAACGAACCACTCTCAATCTTTTGAAGAGTTCTCTCCAAGGCGTGACATTAAAGATGCACGATTACATGTCAAATTTGTCTATAAAAATAAATTTTTATAATTAAATTACTCAATTTAACAAACAGTATTATCACTCTTGGTATAAATACATGTTCTATAATCTTTTGACGTTCTGTCCACCGCAGGCATTTGCAGATTCTTTGTAAAATCAATTGTAAAGATACAAAAATACCAAGGACACTCTTGATACATACATCAAATTTATGTATTGAACAAGGCCTAGCATTAAACAAAATACATCTTTATCCACTCAAACCTGACCTAGTATGACCTTTAATCACATGTTGAGGTTTCAGAGAGGTATCAAATTTATATCAAAAATGTTTTAATATACATGTATCAGTCTGTACGTTGCTTATCCGAAGCATTAAATCTCTATTTACCTGAAGTTGCTGGTGGGCACAGGAAGTGAATCATCATTTATCCATGAGCGCTATGTGGTTATAACTGATTGTCACCCTTTCATACAGTAATCTGTGAGAGTATGCAACATCAACAGAGCTCTGCAACAGAAATCATATTTGGAACTTTCAATGGCTAAATAAATTCCAGTGACAAAACCAATATTTGCAACATAAGCTTAATAATTAAAAATGTTAAGTCAACTCCAGAAGGCCTGCAACATGCTACTTCAGCTAAATACAGTAAATCAACCAAAACTTTGCTTTCTTGTGATTCTCAATTTATTATTATAACTTGATGAACATTATTGGCCACACGCAAAATAATGTTCTTCTGTTATCACAGAAATAATGACACAAATAATATAAAACTGTGTCCTAATGACACATAAAAAATTATGATCTGCAGGTGCTTCATTATTATCAAGCCTCAATATTGTTAAATGAATCATTCATCTATTGTAATTTTCAGGAGGATTACAAAGACAGAACATCTTCCAAATATTTAAAATAATCACTGTGCTAATTCTTATTCCCCCACCCCACAAAAGAAAAAAACTCACACATAGAACAACTACTGTCACTTACTGCATGTCAAAAACATAACGACTATCATTAGTACGCCAGAATTTGTAGCAAAGTATAATTACAGATAGAGAAAACTGCAGCCTACACTTCAATTTTGATGAGAGCCTTTTGGCGGATTCCTGTCAAAAGTGATTATTAATCTGGATTATCTGCCTTAAAATGATGGGTAATCTGAGTTTAATCATGATAAGTACTTCCCGACCATATCACCTCTAGCTTCGTAAGATGAAGTTTTTCAATAGGATCCAACATCCTGAAAAGATGCACATTATTTTTCCTTAGCCTATCTTTGACAATTCTGAAAATAGGATATCCTCTTTTTACTTGCTCAAAATATCATGCATAATCAACAACTAATGTTTATGTCACTTAGTTCATTCATAACTGCTTTATGGACGTACATGCATATGTATATCTTTGAAATTCTTGATTAACTATATCAATAAATGACAGGCATCATAAATAAGTATTAATTCCCTTCCTGAAAGATAATCTTTGATGTTTACAGTCTAAACATCACAAAATTATGGTGCCCATTTAAAGCTGCTCTTAGCAGGACTTTCATTATAAATATGGCTATAAATCAGTGTATATACCAGTACTTATATACAACTTTATTTATACAAATAACTGCAGAATTAGTACTTAATTGCCGCGATTGTTCAACCTGAATTGATTTGGTTATTCCCTGTGGGTTTCTGTCGGGTATGTGTGGGTGTGTGGAGGCAATTACAATCTGCACTGTGCTGCAGAATAACTGGTCTATGCAAGTTGTAAAACTAACTTCAGGCAAGTCAAGCCTGTGTACTAGACACACCATGAGAATTTATGACAAAGACAGAATTAAAGGTCTGACATATCACTCAATTCCATTTTATAAGACCATTAAATGAAAAAAACAAAGTAAAGTCAGCTCAGTCTCTTCACTCTCTCT